TCCTATAACATGCATTGAATATTGCTTTGTAATTATTTTTTTTAATTTACCATGCGAAATGTATTAGTTGACTTATTTACAATTTATTTTATCTACGGCCCGTCGTTTCGGATGCTTTGTAGTTTTTCTCGCTACTACATCACGCGACCAGTAAGAACGAAGAAACAGTGATAAAAGTAAAAAAAAAAAAGGCTGATAATTATTCATCTTTGGAGAGCTCCCGTCGCGTGCGCCGTGAAATCGGTTTAAGAAACCAAATATGAATGAAAGATTTATTGCTCTTTAAATGATCTAAAAAAAATCCACGACACTATATGTCCATCTTTAAGGAATAACTCGAAAAAACAGTTTTGATGGTAAACAAATTCGGTCGAAACAAAACAACGTTTACCGGACCGATTGTTTGATATGATAAATATAAATAGAATAATTAATTAATATATAAAAAATTAATAATTTAAATGTAATTAAAATTTAATATAGAATTTAAAAGCTGTGTTTTGCACTAATACAATACAGTGCTAGTATTAAAAAAACATTATCAATGAAACCATTTGATAGGCTTCTGTATCTTATTACAGCACGCATGACTCATGAGTCATATATTAAAAACTTCCAGAGTCCAGAAATTCCCGGAAACAGGACAATGAATATATTTAGTATGAAAGTTAGGGAATGGAACTATTAAATGATCATTTACCTCCAAGAACATAAAACAATATGACGAAACTATAACATACAACAGACACACTTCCAAGTCATTTCACTTATTAAATATTTTAATTTATTACTTTATAAATGTCTATTTCACTACTGGATTTTGCTCATAGGCTGATCAGGCTGTGCCCCGATGGATCCTAGATCCCGATCGGGCCGAGGATAAAAATTTGAAATTGAAATTTAAGCACCTTCCCGTTGTCAGATTGATCTGAAATCTCTCATTTAAGTGAAACTCACATTTAATGTAGACGACAATACGTTTTTGATTAAGAAATATGTTATTAATCCAAGATGGCCGCCGATACAAAATGGTGGATTACATATTTCCTTAACCCCCTCAATATGGGTATCAAATGGAAGGGCTGCACTAGTAAAATACGATGATTATGTCAAAAAAATGTTTTTGTAGTTTTCAGTGCACAAATATAAAACTGTTTAACTTAAAGGATTTTTAAGTTGATACTTGTTTTTATTTATACAAAGCTGTCATGTGCATTAACTTGTAAGAATACAAAAGTTCTTCGTGTAATCTTGAATAAAACGCAAATGTACTAAACCACCGTCAAGAACCAGAAAGAAAAACTGTCCCATTACCTGAGCCTCACTACATTATGGAACTGCAATATTACAATGCACTAAAAGGTTTGCAAAACTTAGCCTGGTGCGGTTATGGTGTGTTGGCATTGCTCAGGGCATTACTATGGGTCCGTAATATAACACTAAATTTGTTGAAATCAGCAATGTGCTGGTACATTGCTGATTTAATTCAATTTGATATTATCATTATAGGAGATGAAGATAGAAGATAACTAATTAATTAATACTTCGGTAAAAACGAATTTATGTATTAACTAATATATAAGCTGTAGGTACTATTAAAACGGTATTCTTACATTTCATAAAAATTGGGCAAGTGGCTTTTGTGTAAAAGTGACAATCGTTAATGTTAACTTTTAAAAAATTAAGATTATACAAAACATTATTTATTGAACCTCTGGTTCAGGCGAATGTGATACGAAACGGTACAATACGATATGCGTGATGAATGTTTCAAATCATTTTACACACTTATAAACAGTTTGTTCTTATATCCTCTTTTCATATAAAGTTTCTCGAATAATCTCTACCTCGACAAACACTCACTATCGCAAACGCATGGTAGGGGCCTCGGTCGTTGCTTTTCTCGGTCCAGTGCGGCCACGGATCTGGCCGACATCGGATACTTCATTTAAATTCATGTGAGGGAAAAACATCGATAGAAATTTAACTTTTTATCCGTCTGTTCTTTCACGGCGAGACAGTTAATACACGAACGAATTAGATGGGCTCGTTGGTTTTAGTGATAAGGTTGCTGTGTCGCCTTTAGTATAAATAGTATGCTAGGGTAGATATAGTTTCAAATAAGCATACATACAACATAGGACAAAAGAAGGCGTACGAAAAACAGTTCTGGAGAATTAGGCTGACTACCTCAAGATTACCAACGATTTGAGGAGGTCAGAAACGTATGTAACAAAGAAAAGAATTAAATAACAATTTAATTCAAAGGAAATTGAATTACCGTTGTGATTGCGTCGTTAATATAAGAAATAATGTTTTTATTTACACTTCAAATTGTATTAAAATTCTATAATACTAACCTACTCATGACAAGAACAATATCTTAAATTATAAGGGAAAGATAAAAATCATCGATATCAAAGACTGGACCCGTATGTACAGGATACACGTGTAATCATATGTGTTTAAGAGAATAAGAATATATTTTACTAGAGAAACGCATTACCTGTTAAAGACTAGCGTACGTGTGCTAAACAGGCTAATGTTATAAGCCATCTTAGAAAACATAGCAACATCTCGGCTTCAAACATGATCGACACTGCGTACCGATAGCAAAAAAGTTAAACTAGGGAGTTACCCTATAGAGAACTATTTCATCTCTTCTACTAAGAAATAAGTGTAATTTTGGCTCACATAAGTTGTGAATAATATTATAATAAAATCTTATTATATTCTCTTGTGTATAAATATTCTTATCATATATTTTTTTATATAACTACACGTAAATTACTTAATAGCATCGAGTTTTATTCTTAACCGAAACGATACAATTAAAAACTAATATTTAACTAACGAAAAAAATAACTATTTTGCTAACTGTACATAGAATATTTAACGATACCCATCGATGAATGTTTCCAATCATGGTATTACACGGTCTGTCTCAATATAATTCAATAAAGATTTTTCTGCGTTCCGCGTTATTAATATCGGTATTTCTTGAGAAGGAATTACAAAGCTATGCTTACGTCCGCATTGAGAATGAATGGAATAAACAGTTTTTAATAAAATACCTTACAGTTGGCATGCGATGGAAATCATACAGCCGAATGTCAATACAGAATCTAAAATCGTTTGGACATTTTAATATGAATATATACACTCAATAGCTTTAATAAAGCACTTTTACGCAATGTATGTTTTATGCAATGTGCATCACTTCCTTTAATTATCAAACTTTTACTATGAATTGATGAAACCTTTATTTTTGAATGTGAATTGTAAATAAGTTAAACGAATATATTTCGCGTTTTAAACGTTAAAGTATTTGATTTAAATGTATACTAGTCGCGTAAACTACAGACTATTTTAAAAGTGAATACTCAAAACCATTAACAGGCCCCACCTATGGGCCATTATAGAATATAAGTTAAGGTATTCAGTTCAATTATATATTTCCGTTATTGTTTTTGAATTAATCTTTTGCTTTAATAAGACGTATTTCGTTGAATTTTCAGCAAGGCCAAAACTGTATAAAATTTATTTTAGACTGAAAAATACTAAAGATTGAAGGCAGTATATATAAAAAGCTAGCTGTTGTTTTAGTACAGAATAGGCTTTCCGAGTCATAATAAGGAAGTTAGATCCAGCGGGGAATACACAATTGACCTTTCGCGCTAAGTTACATAACAGCATTAATTCTAATACTTGTGTGGGCACGGAAGTAGCAAGTACCACGCGCAAATAGGATTACACCTTTAAAACCTTTAGCCGTGGCAACAACAGATTTATATTATCACCACCATCAGCTCGCTGACTAAGCCGAAAAACACGAAACGGAATATTCTTATAACACGTTAGTTGATCCAATGATATCGATGCTAGTAATCGCTGGTCCGGAAAAACTGGTAATTTTCACGATTATATTATAATATTTAAGGCATGTATTAAGATGATAACAGATTTAATTTACTAATAAACTAAGGATGTTAAAGTCCTATAATAAAAAAAGTAGGTAAAATGTTATCAAGCAATGCATTGCGGTCGCCGCGTGCGTTGCTGAAAGATATGCGATCACCTTTATTCATCCTCATCGTGCTTTTACTGTTTGTTGTGATTTCACCCCCCCCCCCCTCCCCCAATTTATATATTTCTTTATAAGCTGAAATGTGTCTACTTTGTTGTATATTAGCGATTTAATTTCGATCTTTATTCAGAGCTAAATATCTAGGGATTCGAGATTGGGTGCGGGATTTCTGTCTCGGTTCCATTATCCGCCCCGGCTCGTCCACTGTACGACTGTGATCCCATTCCAAAATACCCTTTCAATTTACGATACAATTGTTTTGCGAATAATAATAACGGATTCTAAATGTATTATTTGGATAATTTACGAAATATTTTATCTTTTACCTACATTTACTTATTCTTTCTTCATTTGTTTTATGTTGTTATTGCTTATCGTATTTTTTATATAATCGAGTCTTTAATAAGATCTCTAATATTTTAACATTAGAGCACGAATTAATAAGTAGAATTTATTTTTCTGTTTATTCGATCTGATTAGCATCGTATATTATTGTTTAAATTATTTTAATTACGATCGAATATGTATATATTAAGTAATAATATATATATTTGAATAAAATCTTGGTTACAAATGTAATAACGGTTATTTTAATTATGAATTTACGCCATAAATAAAGAAGACACTAACGTAGTAAAAACACCTGTAGCCTTCATGTCTTTAATATACCGTAAATTTATAACCAACATATTTCAAGAGACATAGTTTCGTGTCTGGATTTATTTATTATACCAACACTTTTAACGGTTCAAAACTTGTAGTAGTTACTTAGAATAAGGTTACGATCACGTCTGTGTACATAACGTGACAGCGAAGAATTCTTACTCAGAAAGTGTGTAGCGATCAATCGTGCGTCGGGTTTTTGCAGCGATATCTAAAAATATACAAGAGGCAACGCACCTTAATTACATACTTACGTGTCATGACACGCAATTAGCATACAGTGATAACAAGATTTCCATTTAATAAGCGAACGGGTCTTAGGCAAGTTGATCATGGCAATACGATAACGATGTTCAAAAAGAATACATATATGACCAGACCTAGACCAAGCCGACGCGTCTTTGGGCATGCACACGGGCGTCGTCACCCGGTCCAGGTCCGGGTCTATCTGGGTGTGAGTTTGAAGAGCTAGACGAACCACTGCGTTAAAGCGACGGCAGATTGATGCATTTTTCTTTTGGAACTTCATCATTATGGAATGGTTAACTTGGCTGCGACCTCGATCACCATGATTTACATCGAACCTTAGTGGAAGCATGAGGATATCCAAATATCCTAATTAAAATAGATTTACAGCGCACCTCATTTCTTAATGATTCTCTTTATATAAACCGCCTTCTATAGTATTGTCTAAAAATTATTCGATCAATTTTCTCCCTGCCATTATATTACCTACTGTTTGAAAGTATCTATACGAAAATTATAAAGGTGAATCGTTTAAAATAAGTGTTTTATTTAAATGTGTACTACTCGCGTAAACTATAGACAGTATTTAAGGTTAATAGTTTGCTTGTGTGAAAGCGCTAATCTCAAGAACTACTTCTTCGAATAAAAATAATAATTTAAATATATAAACATCAACCATTAGGAGCGAGGAAACAGTGGATAGACGGGAAAAAATATTTAATTTCCTTTCCGGGCTCCCATTGCGTGCGCTGCGAAAAATGTTCAAGAAACCAAAAAAATATGCATGGAAAAAATATCTCTCTAAATTATAAAAACATGATGTATATCTTTTAAGATTAACTTGCTAGCACGACAGGACGCAGACGACATCGTGGGTAACTTCTAGTATATTCATTTTTATTTGTTTAATTTATTTTCCTTATTCAATAATGAAATAGCTCATCTACAAAGACGTCTAATATACGGCGTGGCCCATAAAAATAGTCTGAATAAACTCCCATTCGCCACGGAATTTACTATTACGGCTTCCCACAAAACGTATAAGTGCCGATAAACCGACGAATTCGTGTTTTACTATCAATTGTGTTTCACGGACACGAAAGTCGTGGGATATTTCACGAAATAACTATTTGCCACTGATCGGGACGGAGCTTTCTATTTTTTGATGACAAAGGAGAACAGCTGTATTCCTTGAAGAAATGCACTGTTGAATTAATTTAGGTTCAGATATTTCATCAGAAACAACGTGAAACACCTTTATATGGAGGACATCTTAATGATGACATTTTGGTTAATCGATGAGAAAGTCCAAGTTATTGACGGTAGGTGCTGCATTATCAAGGTTCTGACCATTCAGGCATAAGCGTACCAAATCAATTATGGTGGAAATCTGTGGGAAGGTTAAACGCCGAAACTTCGACTCTTTTTTTGTTTACGCTCGAGTGTCTTTGGCGAAATTTATAGATCTACAACGACAGATGAACGACAAAAATCTTTAAAAAAAAAGAGAACCAAACTCTTGTTTGTAGCTGTACGTACATTAAATAAAATACTATCTGACATAAAAAAAAAACAGCTAAATACAAGCCACCTCTCGGACGAAGAGTTCCATACTAATAGCCACGTACACACATTCACTATTCCTTTTTTTAATTTAATTGCCTATCTATAACCATATATTGATAACGAGCGCAATAAAAAAAATATAGGTATTGTATATTGATTTTAGTAAGTATTTAAAATATCTCATAAGTTGACTATTCACGTTTTAATAGAATAAATAAATATAGATACGGAAAGAAAAGGAAATGTTGTTTTGTGTTTGCAATTTAATAGTGAATATAATTGTTTAAATAGGTGAGTGTTTGACTAGGCGATTATTGTTTAATTGCTTTTATATTTCTTATCTTATCGCGAAAGTCATATAATCATAGCTGTTATCTATCGTTTAATTTTAACGCATGACACTATACAAGTACAAGATTACCTTTGTGAGTTGCACTTTGTTAACTTATATTAAATAAGAATTATAATATTAGGGCATATATGGTGTATTTTTTGTGTTGTCCTTTAGTAAATTATGTGTTTGCCAAGAATTGTTAAAAGTCACTCTGTGAATGCATATACAATAAATTCATGAATGTGATTTAACGCTGGCAGTACACACATATATAAATTTCTTTTAACCGGCAGACCAATAAACAAATGGAAGTAGAATAGTGGATATACCTATAGACTTACAATGAAACTTAAGTCTTAGTAGATTTTAAATTACTGTTAAACTTTATAATAAATTCCTGTAAGCACACAAAATGACTAAAATAACCTAGGTACTATATTATTGCACTAAACATTTGAGAGATGGGATCATAAGGACTGCGACTGCTCGAGTGATGAAGGCTAGATTTTAAAGGCCCTGATGGCGTTCTGTGGTAGTCTGTGGATTTGCGAATATCCACAAAAGCATCGCATCTTGTCGTTATGTTATATAACTGTAGTATTTCGCTTTCCATAAAGGTAACCCCTTCTTTGGCATTAGACAAGGGTTAATTATGATGTTATAGTTTATAAGTTTGTACTCACAAAATATTATTTAAGTGCTAGAATTAGTATTCATCCTTTAGTTACCATCGCAGTCTTGCGAAAGGAGTCCATTAGTACATTTAGCCTAAACAGGGTACAAACTTCGTACAGATGTACAATAGCTAACATCTGTGAAGAGTTTAGCACTCAATGACTAGGATATTATTAATTAATGGTTTTGTAAATCCTTTGTTCAATTTCCCTTTGTGATCTCAAATAAACGTCGTACAATGAAATGAGCTTGTAAAGTAGAATACGTTTAAATAATGCACATAACGGTTTGTATCCGAAATATATTAATAAGGAAACTTATTTTTGCCACAACCCGACGTGATCAGGATGTCATTGTAAGTTAAGTCATTTATTTCTCGTTTTAAACCGTTGAAATGTTTTGTTACATTCGATTCAACACTATCTTTAAATTAATGATAGTTATAATTTTGTCTGAGATGTACTTTTCGTAGAATAATAATAATGTTTCCGTAGACGATTTTCAGTTATTATCATTCGTAAAACAAATATAAATATTGTATTTAAATAAAACACTTCAACGGTTTAAAACGCGATATATTAGTTAAACCGTGGTCACGGCTGCTGCAAAGCATCCGAAACGTCGGGCCGAAGTTAAAAATCATTTCCAAATAAGTTTAACTAATATATCGTTTTAAACTTAAAGTGTTTTATTTAAATGTGTACTAATAAATATAGACAGTATACAAATATTGTATTCACATTTTTTCACGACTGTTGCTTATAAAAGCCCGAATAAAAAGTTAAACAGTTGCCTTATTACAGAAGATAGTTTGCTTCATTTTCTACTGAGCGTTTCATACCTACTAAATTTTTACTTCTTTGTCTATATATAGCATATGAATGTTATTATGACGATCTGAACGCAAAAGCCTATAGCAATTTCGTAAGCACAATTTTGTCAGTCTCCCCTGACCACGGCTGCTGCAAAGCATCCGAAACGTCGGGCCAAGTTAAAAATATTTTCAAATAAGTTTAACTAATATATCGCGTTTTAAACCGTTAAAGTGTTTTATTTAAAAGCAATTGTTTACCTCAATGTTAATGGTTAAACAAAGGTAGATTACAGTGTCATGTGGAAAAATTCGCCATACAAGGTAAACGATCCGAGCAGCCGTCTGTACATTCCGTTGCGATGACGTACCTTCTATGTAGTTCAGGTTCGTGCGAGTTCTGTTCATTGTGACAAAGTTAAATGTTGAAGCGAAACGCTAACAGTTTAAAACGCGAAGTTTATTAGTTAACGTAGTTTTCATTTATTTTAACTATACCTTGACGATTCACCTTATTCTACTTCTAAATTAAAAATCTAATTTGCAAAATTACGTCAATTACGATAAGAGTGGTCCGTCTTATTTTTCGTTTGTTTAAATCTTTTTTTGGTTGCGTTTAAAGATTGTCTCGTACATGTCTTTTCGTTCTACTGCTAAAAAGATTGCCTTCTTCTTTTTGTCAGTAGAAATTTTTAAGAAAGGCAGTCACGAATTTAAAGTAGTCAAAATAATTTACATTGAAACGAACATTACTTTCTCACCTTAGTTCCTTAAAAAACATTTTAAAATAAAGGTTTGAATAGATTTCTACCCAACCTATCATTTGTACACCGTTACCAGATAATACGGTTTACTAACACAAGATTATACCTGGTTATTTAGTTTCACAATATTGTTGCAATTTAAATTGCTTTAAGTTTAGTGAGAAATAATTCTGAGCTGAATACCTACTTGGCATTAAACATTTTCGGAAGCATGATAGCCAACTCACAGGACGAGTAAGATACAATAATAATAAAGGGATGAAATTGTTAAAAAAATCTTACGTAAAAAGCAGTATTGTTTCTCTTTTTTTATTTTATCTCTATCTCTGTTGTCATAGTCCGTCAGTGATGTCCTTCCACAGCAAAGTTAGTGTATGTGATAATTGTAAACCATTTATGTATGTATTTTTTAAAATTTTATTTAGTTTCTGTATAGCTATATTTTTGGTATGATCTTTGGTCTGAATTAAATGATTTAAATTAGAACTTTATATTATGCGTATTTCCCTTATTAGTTTAGTACTTACTGTAGATGCAGTAATGTATACCACGCATCTTAGTACAGTATTTGAAGTTACGAAGATGCGCCATGTGAAAGGATTGTCAAGTACTTCCTTGTACTTGCTACTTCGTCAATGTGCCAGTATAATTTATTGAGAAGACAGGATGCGGGCAAGTCTAGTACATTAGACTCCACACAGAGATATTCTATAAATTTGACGGGCCCTTTGGTCTATTGTTAGAAATATATAATAATCATCAACAGGTCGTTAGGTCCCCCCCCACCCCCAACACCATGTTGCTTTAATTTGTGAATCAAATCTGATATTATTTTGGTGGCAGGCATATCGACAATCCGTCTGGGCCACCTTCCACCACATGGGAAAGCCGTCAAGTTTAATTGAGTACTCGGATTACCCAGAGTTGAGCCAAAAAGGTCGTCATCTTGAACCCAAGCTTGTATGTCTTCGTTTTTTCGTTTTTAGAACGTGAGCACTTTAAGGTTTAAACTTCCTCTCTATTGATTATGTAAAACATTCACACACAATTAACACATAAAGTTACATGGATTTAAACACTCTTTTTCTTTTTAACGACTTGTGCGAACTTGCCGAATTCAAAGACAAAATTTTCGGTCGAGAACGGCACCGTTAACTAACTTCTTGTGTATACAATAAGTGGAATTAATTGAGACACTGACACAAAAAAGTGTTCACAGGCAAGAAAATGGGATGTTTGCGTTTTGGGAAATCTTAAGCGTTTTAGGATTACAATAGATAATCTTTTATTAAAAATACAACCTTTGATAGAGAGAGAACGCGATACACACGATAACCTACTTCAGGCAAACACATGTTTATTATTTGACTGTTTAAAGAGAACCCTCGCCCTCATTTCGAGTAACAGGTGTCTTGAGTCAACAGAACTTTGTTTGGCATAGATAAGAAAACGAGATTATTTGCCCTTGAAACGTTATCACAATGTATGTTAGTTAAAAAAGTTTAGCTCTTAAATATAACGCTGTTAAAAAACACAGAACACAGAAGCAAATATCCAAACAGTCTTTGTCTATCCTACGCGAAACTTACTTATTTACTGAATATTTTCTACAACTTTTTGTTCTATCGTATTAAATTCTACTATCTTAACATTTCTTGAAGAAGGAAGCAAGATGGTGTTAAACATCGTCACGTAACAAAATTGCCACTTTACTCAGCGTGTCATAATAAGTTTTATCAAATCATTAAAAAATGTTTAAGTTACTAGGTAACTAGGTGCCAGAGTAATCTTAATAATACAAAATGCATAGATAACGGCGTTTCTCTTAATTGAACACAATTATCGCAACGGTTCTACAAACAACGTTTGGAGCTTTGTTTCTTTTGAATAATGGTCTAAATAACTGTTTCGCTACATATATTATAACTGTTATCGACTCTCAGTTGTTCTGCTCCTTATTGAAATATATTGCTATAACAGAGGAGTGTACAGAAATCTGACATATTTTTGAGCTCGACCGCAGGCAGTGTGGGAGAACCGGCTTGGCAGGGACCGGCAAGTCAACAGGTAGGGTATAGGGCACTGACCTACAGACGGCGATGCTATGAATGGCAACTGAAAGTTCAGCTGATAAAATTAAACAGGATGAAACTACCGAATGCTTAACTCACACAGATCAATCCATGCCATAGATAATAATTTACATCCAAATTATTGGTAGGTCTGTGGTTAATTTAAATGAAAAACTAGGTTAATAATTCAGAATAGTATTCGTCGCAAAACTTTATATTTTTAAAACAGAATGACTCCGTTGTTCAATGATCTTTAGAGTCGTTCACTACCGAAGCGTGAGGCGAAACGGCGAGTTAAAACTAAAATTAACCGTAATTCGAAATGTAAATAAGTAGGTAAAAGCCACTCACCTTCTTGCAACTGAACGCGAAACGTGCCGTTTCGTGGTAGTTGCCACCCGTGTCCTTTTGAACCTAAAGGTCTACTTTCGCCGACGTACGCCGGGAGATTCGACCATATACGGCCCCTCTCACGTCGAACTTATTACGCGTTCAACAAAACAGTATCGTTCAATTGAAACGGTAAATTGGGATCGCAAAAAGAAAAGCACTCCACACACACTGAACTACAGAAACACTTTCGCAAAGCACTTTTGATTTGACGTTTCGAAAAGAAGTTATTTTATGGGCCGCTGGAGAAAAGTTTAAAACTTTGACGTCGGAAGGAAATCTGCGACACAACTACGTGTGGCGATGCCGCCGCGCGAATGGCATTGTTAGTACTTAGTGTCGGTGTTACCAGCCCCACTATCTTAATATTAGATTTTATAAAATTTAGTAATAGCTTTTTTTCTTAACTATTAGTTAGGGTTTAAAAAATATTTTGAGAACCACTACGTTATAATAAACGCCACAAAAATCTGAAGACGTTGTAACTACCAAAAAAAAAAAACATCAATTTCAACATCATGGACTGGTTATATTCACTAATAACAAACCATAAGATAACGGTCTACGTGGCAGAATATAAACAACAAAAGTTAAAAAAGTATTACACACATAATTTTAAAGCTTTTAAAGCCACAAAAAGAAACACAAATTAACAAAAATATACATTGTTTATAAGCAGCAATGTCCGTGGCAATATTAAACTTTTGTGTTTTTGGGTTGGCAACACTATTTTCTAGTCTCGGCTGCGGCTTTCAAGTTTCGTCTTGTATCGGTACTCAAGCGTTAAGAGAAATATGAAGCAAAGAAGCGGTTAAATAAATTGTCACAGGACAGAGCGAGATAACAATATTAACCATAAATACAGTAAAAAATGCTCAGGTGCCCCTCCCTTAATAAAAAAAATATAAAATCGGTATGTTATTATGCTCCCCAATCTACAAAAAACAATTGTTATTCAGAAGTATATCTTGTAATTCAACATAAATGAAATGTATAATAAAATTGGCCCAATAAAAGTAAAAATCTGATTAAACATACTTATAAAATTGTATAAAAATACTGTACAATTGATTGGCTCCTATAAATCACAATATATATTAAGCTAGCAGTGTATACAACAATGTGCCAATAAATTCATTTTGCTTCTAAAAAAATCATTTAGGTCAGCGGTACAAAAGTTTTAATAAAGTAGTCTTATAAAGTCTCTTAAATAAAATGCTGTCATAATAAATTAGTACATCAACACAATATTTCTTACTTACAAATAGATTTCACAGTAATCTAATACAGATCTTACAATCATTGTCTTATTAAATCAGGTCCATCAGGCACTAATAAATTTGATGAAACTAATAATGGATTGACTTGTAAGGGTTTTTCACTACAGCGATTTAAGACATCTGGTGCTGCTTTCTTTATAAAAGCTGTTCTTAATGATAAGACTAGTGTATTTACAAAACCTACTATAACATAAATACCACCGATAATTGAAAAAAGTCTTAACATGAATTGTAGAAGATTTTCTCTTTCCTGATACACTTTGATTTTTATAGCTCCCATATCATATTTGAAGAAAATGCCTGGAACTCCATGAGAGCCATGCGAATGACTAATCGGTCTTTCTAACTCTTTGACTGAGTACTGGAATGTTTTTATGGATTCAAATGTTGTATCGACATCTGTGGGCACAACTTCGATGAAGTATTGATACAACATGTTTTCATCTTTTGTAATCTTTTCATCACCTTCCAGGGGATAAATTATTCCATTCGCTGGACTACCAAAACTTAATCTATGTATTCTGTGACTGAAGTTCTGAGGTGTATCATCAAACAACATGTTAAGATGTATGTGGCCTCGCGGTAAATGTAAGCTTTTACCGGCAGTTATATGAAAGTTGCCAGCCACTTTATTTAATGTTAATACCCCGTGTAGTCTGCAGGCGTCAGGTTTTCGGTTTGGTTTTGTTTTTCGCGGCGGTATTGTCGCTCTGACTGATCCGTGACCTTTCTTCCACAACAATTGCCATAGTGAATGGTATTCTTCCCTGAGATATGAATTTAAATGTTTCACTGCTTCAAATGCATCCTGTTGTTCTTCAGATAGTTCAAACCACGTATCTTCCTCTTGTAATTCGCCGAAACCAAATACACTCTGCGATGTCGAATCGAGAATATCGGCTCCTAAATTGGAGCACGGCATTGAAACTGTAATATCAATATTTATGCGGAGTTTTTCATCCATATCTGTGTCTGGCATGAATTTAAATACTAAATTGCTGTCTAGAAAGTATGTTACTTCACTGTATATAAGGCACACGATAATAAAAAACGTGATGATTGAAAACGTTCCGCCTACCGGTGTACTGTCCACGTATTCTTCAGGCACCTTAGGAAAGGCATCCAATTCTTTTACTTTATCAATTACGTTTTTCTTGCCACGATATCTTATCATTGTTTATTAGTTACAATAGATCTTAATAATTAAAAATATACTTATCAAAATAAAAAGTACAAGATTAACTATGTTTCTTGATTTAGACAAAATATATGTTGTCTAATTTAGAATACGATGGCAAATCTGGCAACTGACAGTTGCGATAAGAAATATTATATTATAAAGTTATAATTAATAAGAAGTCCTGATCAACTACTTGCCCGTTAAAAGAACGGATCAGTGAAACGGACACAGAAATGTGTTCGCCCCCACGAGGGGGAAACGGGCCCTCGCTTTTTATTAGGCACTAATTGTAAATAAAAATTTGGAATACTACAAGAATTAGTTTAAATATTTCAAAAGCATGAAATCTAAAACTTGCCATCCTACGTTAGGCAAGTAATAATTGTCATGTTTGTGTTGGTTGACAATTGACAGTAGACAAATGATAACATTTACAATTTTTCTACCAATCTTACGTGTCAATAATGACAAAACTTAACGTTTGTGATTTGACAGATTGTGACGCATGATTTTTCTAACATTTTAATTTTCATTGTAAGGGAGATTTTCAACTTCTATTTTTAAGCGAAGTACGAAGTAACAAAACATTTATGCAGTCGGACGGTGAAAATTGCACGTTCCATACATGCTTCGATTTTCTAAAAAGTGCAGTCATGGGGTGCTGCTACAGTATATGTCACAAAGATTCGGACCCTCAGGTAGCTATGAAGCTTGTATTTTTGTAAGTTTAAAACGAAAACTATTAACCAAAGTATAAAATTACTTGAAACGAATTATAGCAAAAGTGCAAGATCGAATATTTGTATAATACTGAAACGTTACTAGTGTGACGTATCTATATAATTGAAATATAAAACATGTAGGCAGTGATAACGAAACTTCCCAGTTTATTGTCTCATTATCTTTATTTACCACTGAACCTGTAAATTAATTCCAAAACAATGAATGATTGTGTACATTGACTTGTTCCTCTTTAATAACATTCCCTTAGCCTAGAAAAAGAATAAATTGGTATGAAAACATGCTAAAACTTAAAAAATATCTATTGAAGGTCTCTAGGGAGATACTTAACAATTCTGTTAGAGTTTTATCAAATTACTTAAAATATAAGATTAGAATAATATTGTCTTCCATATGTTTATTTACTGTTATATGATTTCTCATTACACTTTATTGTTGAACTGGTTTTGTAGTTTTGTAATCTGTTATACACTTGTTACTAATTTCTCAATACTCTAGGAAAAATTACCCAATAAGGGTAAATGAATTGATTTATTTTTGAATTACTGGTGAATTAACTGGTCAATAATATTGGATTTGTAGTACTTGCCAATAATTTAACAATATTTTTTTTGTGGGTTTTAACTTGGACTCTTCAAGGTCAAAGTTATGATATTTTAAATGGACCCATATAGTGGATCAAATTCAAATTCATTTGTTTAGAAAAATTATGTTAATGTTATCTTTTAACTTAAGGATTTGACCTATTTTAGAGAATGCTCCGTAGTATAGAATCTCTGCTAGTTTTTCCTGACCTGCATTGCTTACCTAATTAACACATCAGATATTTTAATTATGCTGCTAATCCACTTAATAAGTAGGTAGCCTTCCTACATTGTTGTTAAACCAGGTGTTTTTACACTTGCAGTTCTTTAATTAAATTCAGTAAACCTACGTAATTGTTAATAGTTTATGAAAATGTATATTTGAAATTTGGTTGTCTATATAAGTATTTAAAATATTAAATTATGGTGTCAGTTATATTTATCAATAGTTTATGGCCAACATGTATGATTAATGACTCATAAAAGTAATGCAATAAATGGTACAATTATCGTGCAGTAAAACTAGTTGTTGATTACAATAACATGTGTTATATTTACTGCAATATGGTGAATAGTGTTTTATTTCTATGCTTCATTTGTAATTGACAATCTGCTTCAAATTTTTGATAAAACTCTAAAACCAATTTGTTTATTGTGGTCCTTTCTACCTGTGAGATTTTCTAGTTAGTTCTATTTCAATATATAGTAGAACACCAAGACTCATTTAGTACAGAAATAACTTGGATGAACAACTATAGCAATACGCGTTCCATTGCGCAGCAAAAAGGCAGGCAGACAACACCACAAACACCAAGGAAAGACATGGTTTCTATGATCTCTTATTTCTAGGATAATGTTCCAAATGAAAGGACACATCTATTGGAGGTACCAGAACAGCATCACGAGACACCTTCACCGACTACCTGTGCTTCCACCCCTCCCCGTAAACCAGATGAGCAGAGTGCTCTTAACCGAATACTTCATGACACTGCTACGTAAGTTTGCAATTTAAATTTCTTTAATTATTAATAATTCACATTAATTGTGTAAGAATTGTTACAAAAACATGACAATAAAAGGGGCGGCGGCAAGTTTCTTGCCAGTTCTTCTCGTTCGTTGTAGCCCTTTATTTTAATACGGTTTTTTTGCATCGTCCACCATTATTGGATTTTGTAGTATGAAAATAAATTCTCAAAAGACTGATATTACTGCAATTGAGTGAAGAAACTTGAAGATCTGTACTTATTATAATATATTTGTTTTACGACATGACCTTGAATCAAGTACGTAATAATTTTAATATAAAATTAAGGTAAATGAATATGATTCCAGTAATGTAATCGACGTAGGCGCACTTGGCCCGTATTCTCTGGAAGCGAACGCGTACAGCGAGCGCGTCCGTGCGTATACGGCCAGAGCAGCAGCTGCCGTTTTACCTTTACCGGTAAGAATTATTTAATTATTACTATTTTGCTTACTAAATTATTTCATAATTAATGTAATGAGCTTACAATGCCCATGGTTAATTGGTAAACAATAAGTTTATAAAGTTTAATCAAATCTTATAGTAAAAATTCGCTTCATCTTACTTTAATTTAGTTAACAATGTTGTTAAAAAGTTTATATTACCGTACATTTTAAAATAAAACAATGGTTTAAATCGTTAGGATTATTTAACTTATTAAAATGTATACTACTTACCTAAATTACAGACAATACTTAATCTATATCTATTACATATTATGCCATATTTTCGACGGGCTTTTATTTAAGTTGTTGTTGTTACCTATCAACATTTAGTACCTTGTTATATTCATGGTAAACATACTTATTATTATCATCTTAATATCAGATACCCGCAAAGTTAATCGCTGATGTACCACCTGCCGCCTCCAAAGTTATTCTCAATGGCCCACCTCCAGATTTTGCTGATAAGGAACTGGTAAGTAAATAAGAAAACACACTTAAAGCTATAAGGAGATAATAATAGGCATTGGTTCACTTGATAGAACGTGAAACCTCGTAATGTCTAAGCAAGATGCGCTGTCTATTTTGTCTTTGGATGTTTGGAAATTCACAACATGTACTTTCTCTATGCTGTCTACCTTGGTTCATCACTTAACGGGATTTGGACAGTCCTACCATTCATTTCAATAATATTTTTCAAACAAGGTGAAACATGTTTTAGAAAAATCGTAAATTTGTATTAGAATCACGTTGAATCTAGCGGGAATCAACAACACGGCACATTGTTCATACATTGCTATCATGGCCAATGGAATCGTTAGAAACTTAATCATATATTTGTTGCGAATTTTCAGATTACAAACGCCGTAAAGAAAGCTGCAGCTGCCATCTCGGAGTTGCGCGTTGAACACCACGAAGACCTGGTAGTCCCCTTCCGGGTGCCAGTCGCGTAGCGCAGGAGCGGGGCTTCGATGTCCGACGACGAACGCCCCTTTTGACACTCCATGTATACGCACTAAGGGTGCACGCCCACTCGGCCACCAAAGTGAAAGGTTACGTTGTCCTTTCTAGTGAAATTCCAAGTTACTCGTTTTAAAAGTGTATAGAACTTTAAGATACTTTTGAATAAAAAAGTTTCATTTCATTACGCATTTGTTACATAACTTTTCGCGTTATAGTGCGCGCGCGCATCCTTTATATAGAATGTATATACGTAGTGTGTAACGCAACTTGTTAAATTTGATAAGAGCTTCAAGCTTATTGAAAAGGGTCGCAGGGTCGATCTTTGCCCGTTTGTTTCAACTTTGTAATTAGCAGCTTAGGGCCAATTTATTCTATTGTATGAAATCTGAACTTGACTGATCCTTAAATGTGTACTGTTATAATCATATAGAGGTGCTATCCCATTATGCCGCATCTTATTGGAGATTTATCAACATATCAGAATAGTGTCAAGTCATATTATTTTGAAACAATTGTCTAACGAGAATTTCTCTAAATTTAGTTCTAACTTTCAATACTTACATCAGTTTACGGCGACTATGATTTGATTAATCAATAAAAGGTAACATTATACATTAGTACTATTTTTAGTACAATTTGACTGCTAAATTAAAACCATAGATTTTGTATGGATAGATGTTTGCTATGCTAAAATTATTGTGAACTTAGTTTCCAGTAATGTATTTTTAAATCATATAATTTCTCGATAATACTCTGCCCTTTATTATTAAATATAGAAGGTTTCAGAAGTATAAGGTTTTATTTTATACAATGTAAACTCGTGGAAACATTTTCGATTTAAAGTCCTGAGAATGACGGACACAGAATTAATCTTAAATATTGATCTGTGAGATAAAATCTGCCTCGAAAGGATGATGGATTATATACATGATTTAAGATTATTATAATTATGATTTATGGGAACAGCTAATTCAGGTACCAGTGACGTACCACCGATTGGCTATTGACACGCCGTAGTGGACTTGGACCTTGGTGATTTCAACAATTTTCATCATGCTGTAAAAAAAAGCAAAAATAATAGGAAGTCTAGGTAGAACACTCTACTATTAAAATTCATCCTTCTTTTCTTCCTATTTTTATTGCTTTCTCGTATATTAAAATGTTTTTTTTATGGAAAATCATAAGAATATTAATTTGCATGACACCCTCACTGTATTCCTTATTATTTAGAAGTATTATTCGTGACAAATGCTCTGTTTACACAAGAAACAGCAACTAGCCATTTGTAACGAAATATTGCTGTATTGAGCGATGCCTTAACAACTTAATGTTATTAATTAAGCATGGACGTACTCTTGAAGAGGGTGGAAGAGTCAGGGGCAGTGCCACCCTGGAAATCCAACATGCAGGAATTTTCTTCCAAGGCTTGAGTTTTATGCCTCCCTGGAGTAAAAAATGGCATGCCCTTTCCTAGGCCAGAAGCTGAATACGCCCATGTTTTAGCGAAAATCATTTATTATATGTTTAAATGTAAATTGATATATTTTAATGATATTAAGTAACATATAACACCAATATATTGTGTAAAAATGACAAATGTAAATTAAGATGGTGGTTCTTAGTTTTATTTTGTCGATAGTCATGTTTATACTTTGTGTTATTCGAAATAAATGCATATTAAATTAAAATAAACATATAATTATTTTTTATTCCTCTATCAATGTGGGTATGTCAGTTTATATGCTGCTATGATAAAGCTGTGATTTCATTTGTGGACGTCGGTTTGTGACTCGGACGGAACTTTCGATACTCCTACCACCTCTTTTAATATCCAGAATTCCAGACGAAGTCAGCATTTGCCAGAAAAATTAGAAACATGTTGGCCCGGTGGGGATCGAACCCAGAACCCGTTGATTATCAGCCATATATGCTACCATTAGCCCAACAAACCCATCAATGCGCTCCACATACATCTAATTTATATAAGTATTATATTTTTGTGTTTTTTTCTTATATTTACTTGTATATGTTGATTTGATAATCAGACGGGTTCGTTGTTCAATTATCAGTTTGTATACAGTACTAAAACTCAACGTTTATTCGGTTAATTTTAATGATTTCGATAACTTTTTTAATATCATACTGTGTACTAACATTATGTTTACAATAAGTATTACTTTTCGTATAAAATATGAATATATATCTGTCATTAAATATCTTTTTCTTCTTCTTCTTATAACATTCTATTGATTCGTTTTCCCTGTGGCATCTGTGGCATCAACTACACTCTATAAAAGGCTTCACTAGTTCTATCTGGTTTAAAATCACCCATATTTGTAGTGGACTTTTGCCAAGTAAGATAAAACCGACTCTATAGTCGACTATATAGATCTATATCTAAATAGATATTGACGTTTATATGACCTTAAACTTAACTATGATATTTCTGAGAAAATTAATGACATCTGATATTTTTTTACTGACTCGGTAGCTCTATTGGTAGAGCAACAGCACGGAACGCTGACGATGCCGGTTCAAGTCGAGTCTGGCCGAGTGGAAAATTTATTTTCGATTTTTAATTTATATAGTGCCTTCATGTGCATAACATAACATGTAGAAAATAATAGTTTCAAATTTTTTACTGATTTATAGTCTTTATTTATTTAGATTACATATTCTGTAACTTTATATATTATCTATGTACAGATGTTATAAACCACAGATTCTCAGAATAAAGACCGCGTAAATTGTGAATACGTTGATCAAAGCAACATAAAAAAGTAAAATCTTGTCAAAATCTATTTTTTGTGTAGGTTTACAATAATTTTGTGAAATGTCCGTTTTCGATGGTGAAATTGAATTCCAGTCCGTCTACATGGCGGATTTTGCTAAGAAAAACAAACCGTAAGTATTATTTGCTACCTCTATTTGTTTGATTTTTTCTCCCTCGGGTCCAGCTCCTCAGGCTTCTATCCATATTGGGGTGGTCCAAGCCTAGACTGATATTCTCTTCGGGGCTCCTTTGGTCAGGCCGTGTTTGCCTCGGTTAGTATCGGAGGCCAAAGAGCTTTTTTTTATACCCTATATTAAAAAAAAACTCTTTTTTGACGTTTCAAATATTCCCTAATCTGTATATTGCAGTAAAAGCCCTCGTCGCAAAGCTGTAGACGACAATTGTCTAATAGTGGGACTCAGCCGCGATTCGCTGAAGGCTCGTGAACAGCCAAGGAAATGTCCAGATGTGCTCTGTCCCATAGATTTTGAATATTACAAAAAAGCTGTTGAGAGGGTAATAAGTCCGCCTCTTTACTTCATATATAATATATAGGACATAATATGTTTATATTTTTAACAAATTAAGATCTTATTTAGTTTTGAAGTATTATTTTACATACATAATTCAAGTTAATTTATTTATTCAATACAATGTGAAATTCCGCTCGCCGGACATGCCTATTGTATTCACAAGTCGTTTTTTATTTGCAGGAAATTAGTTAGTGGAACCGAAACAATTTATTGTTCTCATTGGAATCGAATTCAGGACCTCTCTTGCATTCAGCTATGGAATGTCAACAGACATTACCTACTTGATAACGTGTTGCAGAACGAATCACCTAATTTCTACTTCTTTGCAAGAATTTTGTTTTTAGTTCGGTGAAGACCACCCGACTGTTACGAAGATGTATATGACCAAAGATGTCGATCCAACGCCGATCGATCACGAGATTCAAGACCTAAAGAGAACGGAGTATCTCACGAAATACTGTTCTAGAGGTAAGTAAGAGAAGCAAGTGATCTGACGGTGTTTTCGGGTTTTAGTGGGGAGGACACACTGGTAAGCCCCACATATCCCCGCAACAGCAGCCGGAAAAAGGAAATACCGACGTAATAAAGGGGTAAGTAAGAAAAGATAGATAAATTATCACTACAAATAAATTAACACTACTTATATGCTATACTTCTGTCAGATTATTTAATATTTATGTGAGAACGAGTTTCGAGAAGTATTAACCTCGTATAACCCTGTAGAGGTAAATGGAATTTCTTTACTACGTGGGGTGGCAAACAGTGTTCGTTTTAGTAATAAATGTTTAAAATCTTTAATAATTTGCACATTATGGCAGTATAGATTGAAAAATAAATTGACAAAAATTTACGACATGGGCAGGACTTCTAACTATATCTATTTATAATCGATTTTTAATCAATAAATGTTAGGGGAAGCCTCATAACCTACAGAAAGTTGATATAACGGTTGAAGGTATTTTATGTTCCCCACAGAACTACCGTTCATGTCAGTTAACCTGGCGCGTCGTGCTCGTGCCTTACAGACACTCCGTCTACCAGACGACATCTACATCCCCGATACCAGCCAAAAAGGATCCTACAGACCGCCCAAGCCAGAAAAATACGCAGAACCACCTTCCGCTATGTCTATGAAACCTAAGTTTGATCCATCTTTGACCAGTTAGTATTACAATAGACTCAATTTTAAAAAATCAAAGCTTTATAGCTGTTTGTTATAATATTGTTTTATCACTCATCGATATTCTGATTAATAGTAAGTGAAATCGAATTTCCCCTTGTGGGACAAGGGACGAGACATTTTTGTTTCCGATTCACTGAGCGGTTTTATTTACAAATAATAGTTGCATACCTGTGCCTGCCCGATCGAAACAATTTATTATTTCCCCGGGGTTAGAAACCCAGGGCCCCTCGCGCTTTATATGATGTTATTGAACACGTTTAACCATTTAGCTAAAGAGACGGATTAATAATCTATAAACCTGAAATTTTAACATGATTCGTGCTTCATAGAGGAACTCCGTCGCATTCTGCGCGTACGCACAGGTGATACAAGTTACGGCGTCTGTCACGATCTACTAGCTAAAGTTGTGCTCGAAAAGAACCCATTTGGAACACCGCGTGAGGAACCAAAGTACGGCAGATGGAAGAACCGATATTTTTATACTTATAGAATTTAGAATGTTTTTTTTAATCCGCTGTTTTGATTTTAATAATAAAGTTCCCTTGATTGTCACGCGCCTTTTTATCCGAGTGAACAAGTAAGAGATTCACTTGTGTATCACAAATATGCGATAACCTGTTTCGTCGTGGGGCATGGGGCAAATACATTTTTGTGTCCGTTTTACTAATCGGTTCTTTTACAGGCAAGTAGTTGATCAGATTTCTATATCCTGCTCGACCGAAAGAATTGATTGTTTCCCTGGGATTCAAACTCAGAACTCCTCCCGCTTAACACAAAGCTAGTCAACACCTTTAAACAATTCTAACGTAACAATTCTACTTCCTAATTTTAAAAGTTTTCTTGAAGTTACCTCTAAATCTTTATTATTTAGTGCAATTCCGGTCAGTATTGTTTTTTTAACACTTGAAATACTGTTTGTATTTTTACTGTGTAGAAAGTGATATTGTATGTATGTTGAACTGTGGAAAGTAGACTTACTTAGAAATAATCTAAGCTATAAATAAATGAGGGCAAACTTTCAACTATGATATCTTCGAAGCCTTGGTTCTGACATCTGCTAGCGCCGCGTCCTTAGCACGCGCACTTTGTCTACATTTGCCGAGCTATATAAAGGGTACTGTTCTAGTGAACTGCAGTTAACTTAGTTGCAAGAAATTAAGTGCCTGTGCTTAATTATGTAAAAAAATCCTCTTTGATTGAAATATGTTATTTGTACTAAGTTTGTTTTATAAAAATAAAAATAATTGTAGTAGCTAATCCTAAATGCGCCTACAATTTCTTTTCTACTGTGTCAGTCTGTGGATTTATAAATCTCCAAATCCAAAATAAGTCTTGCTTGCGTGTTGTATGGCGGTGGTGTTTCAGATTTCATCAGGGAAATTGCTTATCTGCCAACTATTTCTTTTCAAGTCGGATAAGTTATGTAAAGAGGTCGATTCATAAATACTAAAATCGCGATGACTTGCCAAACAAAATCGTCAAAATGTAACAACAGCATTTTTATATTTTCACACATTTTCTAGCTTTAATAAATAGATTTCAGTATTCAAATAAATCAGCAGTGTAATGGAAATACGATAAAAGAATGGATCACTATTTAACGACATATCGCAAGGACTACCTGTGGCCTAATCTACCAGGGTCTGGCGGCAGCGATGGTGGAATAGCCGAGTGAGTATATAGTTTTAGATTATAGAGAAATTTACATTTTTTGAATCTACGCCGGTCGTTATTATATAAAAGAAGTTATGTTTAGAATCACTTAGAATGCTTTGAAGTATTTTGACTTCTAGCCCTGGGGGAGTCGTAAATTCCAAGTTTGACAAAGATTTTTAAGAGTAATATAAGTCCGCTAGAGGCGTATTTTTATAACTTAAGTTATTTATATTTTCATAGTCAAAAAATGTTACTGTATAAGAGCACAGTGGCCGAAAATTGTTAACATAATTTTTACACAAATAATAGTCTTTCTAAATTCATTATACCTAAATTAATTGCGCATTTTTATCTTCCTCCTTATTATAAAAATATTTTTTTTGTTATTAGGCCACTTTGCCTCTAGCAGCCTCATTTTAAAGTGTTCAGTATTTTTCAGAGTCCCCAAATTATCAGGACAAGAACTAGCATTTTACCAAGCATGTATGCAGCATACGAGACCACCAGATTGTCGCTGTCCGCAGTATTCTGGCGAAGAGGTACAACTTCCACCAGGAAAAGAGGGGGGATGGAGTCGAAATGAGGTATTCGGGTGTTATAGAGTATATCACAGTTTTACAAAGTTTAAACTTTCTATGCAATAAGCGGTGAGACAGCCTTCAAAGAATTGATCTGCATTCGCGCCTGGCACCGGTAATCTACGCCTATCGCTGTTTATGTACTTTTTAGCGATGGAAATCAAGAAATCGGTATAGATATTATTCGCTTTGATATTCCGCTTACTTATACAAGTGATGTGATGCAAACGCCGACTCCTGAATGACTAAAACAAACGTATAACAATGTAATGTTCAAGCCAGAAACAGTGGTGACCGGCGATGAATGGTCGCTGGTCGCCTTATATCTTTTGGCCATACGGTAAGACTTAAAATTGTTTAAACGTTTCTTTTGTATTAATCTTCTTTTTCAGTTAATGGGTCCCATGCTAGATCCAAAGTTGTATCCGGTAAAAGTTGGAGCGAGTCCGGAGACTGCATCGTCGAGATACGATCAGCCCAACGCTTTCCTAGACAAGGTATTTATGTTGATAAAATTCTATTCATGTTGATAGGATTAGGAACATTAATTATTTTTAGTATTTTACATTTGTAGTGGTTTATTTTTTACTTATAATGCTTGGGATTATTGTAAATATTTAGATATGAGATCACTACCTATCCATAATTTTTTTTTAGAAAATATCAAAAACCTTGTTGCTGGAATCTAAGTATGTTGTTTTGGGTTCGAATTCTAGAGATAGAATACTTCGGTTACAGCTGCTTAACTATTTTTAAACTATTTTATTTTTGTAGCTCACCCCATTTGTTTATTATTTATTCTTGGGTCAAATTTAGTAATTCAAATTTCACCCTCTTCCTGTCAACCGATTAATCTGAAATTTTGTATACACTTTGGATTTTGATGACAATACAATTATGTTTATTCATTATCATTATAAATCCAAGATGGCGGTTGCTACAAAATGGCGGATAACGTAGGTTTTATCAATCCCATCAATATGGGTATCAAATGAAAGAGCTCAACAAGCAAAATACAATATACTAAAAAAAAATTAAATGCAAGATGGCGGCCAAGGTTTTATTTTAGTCTAGTCTATGCATATGTTTATAATTCCCACGACTGTATCTATTTTATTATTTTTTGGCTTTTAGTACATTTATCTTAAACATTGCAATGTATATTTAACATAAAACCGTTTAACTTAAACAGTTTTTTACCTATTTTTATTCTGTACTTAAATTCGTCAAGGGCGCATAAGCCTGTTTGCATAAAACCGTACTTTACTTCTTTACCAAACACTAGCTCTCCCCACGACTTCGTAGAGTCCTCGTAGTGTATCTATTTCGGACATTTGTTACATTGCCTTTATGGATCGATGGCATTACTAATATGATGATGGCATCAGGAATTTATAAATTGTAATAAAATAAACTTTGTTTTAACAGTTGCAGTCGAAATATCCAATGCTATACAGCATCCTCCAGAATGAAGCTTCACCTGAATTGAAACAGAGGATAGATCGCGACAGAAATAAAACTACCTACCAAGTAGATTTCTGTGAATCAGGTAAGATAGATAACTATCATTGTGAATCACTAAGATTGACGTGGGATTCGTAAGAGATACCTGGTGTTTAGTGGTAGTGGTGATTATGGAGCCTCCATAAAATTGTGTATTTGTTCCATTAAGCACATGGTTAGACCTGGTAGGAATCGAAGCCTCGACCCGTTAATAGTTCTACTGGCGAAACGTGTCCATCAAAAACTTTTCGGATAGAAATAATATTTTTTTTATCTTTTGATGTTAGGTAAAATATCGCAGTTATATAACACAAGATGTTACGTCAACCTACTTAGTCTTTGAATATTTGTAAATCCACAGACTTAAACCGAAACGCAAAACTTCACGGCTTTATCATTTGTGGACGGTGGTTCGTGACCCGGACGGAATTCTTTTTTTACCATCCCTTTAATATTCAGATTTCCAGACGAAGTCTAACATGTTTGAGACAAAATATAAAAGTAGGGATCAAATCCAAGACCCATTGAGTATTAGCCATAAATTGCTTCCAATACTATAACGAGCTCGACAAACGTACCATTACTAATTTTTATATCGCATTTCAGGTCCTGGTGCAAAGTTTGAGGGTCTTCAAAGAGCGGCTGACGAGAGCGGAGCAGGACCCTGTGCACAGCCCATGAGGTTGCCAGGAGACCCGTGCAGAGTGGGTCCAAAACCTAGAATGACCACACCCAAGACTATCTCCAAGCAAGGAGGTGGTGGTGCTAGCGATCCTAGAGCTAAATGCGGTGAGAGATTAAACCCGAAACAGAACGTAATATATCCGTGACATTTAAATAAAACACGTAACGGCTTAAAACGCGATATGTATTAGTTAAACTTATTCGAAAATTATTTTAACTACGACCCGAAGTTTTGGATGCCTTGGTCACGGCCGGGTAGGGATGGAGGGTCTATAATTTGCGTTTTAAACCGTTAAAAGTCTTCTGTTTAACTGCGTTGTACTCACAAACGACAGAAAATATCTCTTAAGATTTTTTTTATATGAATATAGGGAAGGTTGTTTTAACGCGGTGTACAGATACAGCCCTAAGACGCGAGAATTAAATAATTATAGTTTCTTTACATTTACGTATCCATTAGTAATTTTGTCTACGACCCATCTTCTCGTGACCTCGTCTGTTTATTTATAATTAATTATTGAAAAGGGAGGTCGTAGTTTAATTTAATTATTTCGCGCATTTAAACCGTAGAGAAGGTTTTATATAGTAGGTATAAAGGCCATACTGTGTGGTACCATGTTTGAGTCATTATTAGCTTTTTATTTTTCACCAGAAACCACATCCGCTGTACCACCGCTGGGCAAGACAGAGTACCAGGATAACGTGTCTAAGCTCGGCGGAATCATCATGCGAGACAAACTCCACCGAAAATAGTCATACTAAAGAGCTGTTTTCTAATCATATTGAAAATTATACGGCTATAATCTGGACTCTGCTTTATTAGGGAAGTTTCAGCTAGACTAGCTTATTGGCGGCTTGACTAAGGGTGCCCCAAAGGGGAGATATGTATGACTCTAGTCAGACTATGAGTATTATATAGTATTTAGTTAACAACTACACAATGGTAATTTCAAGTGGAAGGTTTAGTATCCGGTTGAGTACACCACACTATTTTTAATTTAACAATATTACCAAGGTCCCAAGATGCCTTCAAACAATAGCTGATAGCAGGGATTATAAAAACATAAGAATATAAGGATGACACTTGAAAAACGGGGCCTTAATATTTATATTTAATAAAGAATGTGATATGATAAATAGACGTTTATGTATAAAAGCAAAGTATACAGTATGTCATGCGGGGCGAGTCTGCGCACTTGAGATTAGCTCGCCCCGCTTGTAAAGCATCGTTCCTTCCCGCCTCTCCTCTCTCTTGATGACTTGGTCACCTCTTCTGACTAGCTCATCTCTCCTGACTAGATCATCTCTTCTGGCTTGGTCCTCTCTTCTCATATCATCTCTCTTATCGATGTCATTCCTTCGCATAGCCTGTTCTTCTTTTTTGATAGTTTGATCGTTTCGAACGACTTCTTCGCGTTTTATTTCTCGCGATATCCTCGTCGCTCGAGACACGGACGTTTCGTCGTGTTGTCGCACTATTACCGCCCGCGCGTCGGATGTATTACGTTCCCTGAAAGAAGACGATCATATATGACTAGAGGTTGATTGAAGCTTTTACCTGGGTGTTTGGTAAAAACCAAAGGTAAATGGAAAAAATCGTACGTGGAAAATACCAGGTCCAAACCACAAAAATTTTGTTAGCTTACTAATGTTGGATGTCTAAAGCTCACCGTCCAAAAGCGACGAGTCGTTCTATATCATTCCGGCGCTCCGGTACTCTGGGAGGTGGACTGGCAGGCGGTGAAGATGCGTTGGAAACTGAGGCAGGCGAGGCCGGTGAGGAACCCACAGCTGAGTCTCGTTTGGCTGATGATGAAGATCCCGAGGTGGAACGCCGTCGAGGACGCATTGCAGGTATGTGCAGAGAAGCTGTTATCACGCATTCATCCTCTGAACATGCTCCTGTCTGTAATATATTTTTTATGATAAGCACAGGGTTCACTAGATGAAGGGTGAAATTGCCTTAGTCCTATCATAACTCGTGAGTAATCAACGTAAACGTCTACCTATGTTCTTTTGAACATTTAAATTTTTTTAAAGATATAATACATACATTAAATGCGATTTAAATATATAAATAAAAAAAATAATGTTAAGAAAAAAAAATAGCCCAGCAAACAACACCATATACGATTTTATAGATTAACTTAAATATTTTTTATCTCGCTTATTTTTTGTAACTCACATAAGATAATTAGAGAGTGAAAAGATCGAAAAATTAAACGAACCCTTAATGGAGGTGACAAATCCCCCCCGGCCCCCCCTTTTTCCGGAAAGGAAAAATTTTTGGGTTTCCCAAAAGCCCCCCCCCCCCCCCCTTTTTGAGTCACTGTGGAGGGGAATTTCATAAATCAAGACTAAAATTTGGGTAGCTGTGACAGCAGAGTAAGTACGTATGACATTTAATAGTGTTTAGGAAAAAATCAATAAAAGTTATGCTTTTTTAACTGATATGACAATTAACAATATACGTACCTCATTATAATCACTAGCAGAATCATTTGAATCAGGCGCAGAGTCCCTCAGTGGAGGCGAACACACCACACCGCTGCTAGTGCATTCTTCACTGCTGCGTACTCTGAACAACAAGTCTTTTGTTAAAAGCATTTCATTGATGATCACTAGTTCATTATCCTTACTGGTTTTCCTTTGACCGAATCAAATTAAATCTTTGTTATTCTAGTATCGAAAGAAATTAATCTAATCCATTTCAGTGCTTTCCTCAAATTTCTGTCCTTAGATAGTTGAAGAGACTATCGCGGTTTAATTTGGACTATCATAGAGGAACACGAATCTAGCTTATAATACATCTTAAATTATTCAAAAACATGGCTTCATTTATTGGCACAAAACGTTCTAAAGAATCTTTGTGCTAACTTAAAATAAGTTATCTGGCTAGGAGCCAACAACCGGCTTCCAATCAGATTGCAACTTGGTCGACTTCTTAATTAAAATGAAGATGGACCAACTGTATATGGTGGTAGGACTTTCAAAATTCTGTCATCGACCACCGTTCATAGATGAAAAAGGCCGTGAAGTTTGGATTTCTGATTGGAGGTCGACAGGCAATAGCCCGTCTTGGTTCGACACTATAAGGTTGGGACAGACAAAGTGGAGCTTCGCTCGTGTTCCGCAACTTTTATCGAGTGAAGCCCCACTTTGCCTGTCCACCTTAATCATAAATGATGACGCTTATACTTACTGGGCCATTTGTTCCTCTGCTTAATTTCATCAAGGATTATAGTTTACATAACCGTACTAATGAAAATCATATTAAAGTATTCACCTTGTGACAATAGTCATTGCAGAGGACATTGAACCCGATGAAGTGTCTGAAGTAGCTTCTCTAGCGCGTGTGCGTCGACCCGAGTTGCGTTCGTGGTTTCTGCAAATTTTAAATTCACTTCAAAAAGCTATCAAAGATAATTACACTCGAATTAATTTGGAGACGATTTTTCTTTTATGGTAAAGTAGTTTTGGTAGATAACAGTGTGGTTTGTTTTATTCAACATATAGTGAAATTAAAATTTTAAGTACATCTCAGATCGAATGAAATAAAACTCAAATAGATATATTCTTAGTACAAATATAAGCATTGTACAGTTATTTACAAAGAAATTATATGAAATATTAAAAAAAAATAAACAAAACAAGCGTACATATTATTACTAGACGGAATAGGTTGTGTGGTGGCAGTTGCTGTAGCGGCATGCAGAAAATGGTCCCGGGCCCAGACACGACGCGCACCGCTGTCTGAGTTTGCGTTTGCTTCTGCGACTCTATAGTTATATGAACCAAGTGATTATGGAATTCAAACAATAATACATAAAAAAACTATGGTTAACAAAGTGTTAAATGTTCAAACATATTACATGTAAAAGACGAACCCACCAGACTAAACTTCTTACTATTTATTAACATTAAAATGATATACTACTACATATTGTCGTATACATACTCTGCTCTCCTAAGTAGCAGCGAGTCTAGATGTCCCGGTTGGGTATGCGCTAGATGTATATAGGCCTCATGCAGTAACTCTGCCGGTAAAGTCCAAAGTTCCGTTTGCCCCTCCACCAACTGTCGCACCACGTTTATCACGTCTGTACGCTCTGCTAATTCTTCGGCACTGGAAAGTAACACATTTCTCTAATAGATCTATTGAAATAACGAATGTAGTTACCTTAAAATGAGTCAGGGTTTTTCTTGATCATTTATTTACAACCAGAACAAGAGTATTTAGAAGTTTATAGTAAGAAGCTTCAAAAATGTCCAAAGCCAAAATAGATCGACAGTGCATTTTGGGTAGATGTTATATGGCTGGGGTATTTCACATCACATCAAGTGAGCCTCATGCTTGTCTATCTATCATTAAGAAGAAGAAAAAAGGTTGGCTTAGATAGTAGAGAGACTGCTGGTCAGTGGATCCAGGTTTACATAATATCTCTTTAGATTCATTCAGTTATAATAGAAGATATACCTTGCCGTTTCATTAGGTTTATTCCGATGTAGAATGTTTGGTGCAAATATAGTAGCTATATTGGCCGCGTCCATTCTGTTGCCAGGTTGGTGATCATCCACGGAATGCGAGGCCAGTTGGGACAGAAAGGACAAGAGGGCATTTAATGTGTCCCTGTGAGCTGCTGGCAATAGTTGCACTATGTACCGTAGAGCTTCCCATTGCAGTTTTCTGTTGTGGATTTCTGAAATCCCGGTAGATTAACATTAACGTACGACGTGAAGTATCAAGGAGACGAAAACGAGCAGAAATACTAAAATCATTTTTAGTCTTACAGATTCCTGGTCTTTAAAAATGAGACGGTGTGACAGGATCAGCTTTTTACTTCGCATAGATTAAAAGAAAAGAGAGCAAGAGTAACCTTCACTCACTCTGAGTCTGCAAGAAGGCTGCGTAGAGATCTCTGCAAAGAAGCGGGTCAGGCAGATCCCTGAGGAACTCCTTTAGGAGCGTCGCTACGTCATGAGGTAGAGCGTCGTCTAAAGCCGATTCCTGTCCCCTCTCCCAATCTTCACGTAACTGAAATAGAGACATATTCTGGTAAAAACCTTTTCATTCTGACATCATCAGCCCTTTAATAGCAGAGGGCTTAACAGAGACTATATAAGATAATAAAAAATATTTAGGTTAATATACGAGGACAGGTTCGTTAAACTTATGTTAATGATAACATAGTACTAGAATAGATTCATATGTAACTTATAACTCTTCTCAAACAAGTTCCATTCAAACAAGGAAAGCACCATCCACAGATGGAAAAGCATAAGTAATCGCGTTTCCGTTTCAATTCATCTATTTCTACATCATTTGTCCTTCTGTGTCACAAAAATTACAACGTACTTAAGTTATTATATAAATAACATGCTATTTTGAGAAGAGGAATATGTTAATACTATTAGATATTTTATTATATAATATATCAAGCTGAAGAGTTTGTTTTGTTGTATTTAAGCCTAATTCAAGAACTACTGGTTTAAATGTTCTTAGTTAGAGAATTATCGGGGAAGGTTATAGGCCATAAAACGTCGTCTAATAGACAAGAAACAGCGGGAAATTGAAAGAAAGGGGAAGATTATTCCTCTCTGTGTGTTCCCGAGGCGTACGCTGCAAAAACGGTTTAAGATGTATAAAAAAATATGTAAGAAAGAATGAAGAGAACTTTTTTTAGATCATCCAAAGAGGAATTCTTTGGATGATCTAAAAAAATCCGCGACTCTATATGTCTATTTTTTAAGATTAATTTGTAAGAACGGGAAGGGACGCGACCGACGTCGTTGGTAACAGCTTAAGTCTATAAAGATGAGAAGGAGATTTACAAAAACAAATTTGGATGCCCAAAATTACTATTCTACCTGGACGGAGTCGCGTAATTAAATAAAATATGTAACTTGCTATAGATAGTAATTTCTATGTCCACTCAGTCCATTCTAAAGCTCTCTCGTTTATTTGTTTCAACACCAAATACCTCATTTCCATCAACATTGTAAATTGTTTCGCTTGCATGTGTCATATTTACAAATATCAATTTTCTAACACAAACACTGATTTATGGATCTGATTTTGTAACAGGAAATATGAAGTGCATATCTGAAATCTTTGGCGTATGCAGTTCTGGGTTTGATAAATTGTCGAAAATGACTTCTTGGGCTATGATAGACGAATCACTTAGCATCTTAGGCGCTGGGCTGGTGCCAGGCGAGAGATGGATCATGTACCGTCCCACACTCGAGAGTCATCACATTAAAATTGCCATATTTCATACTGGGTGTTTCTGGACGACACGGGGTTTGATAAATGCGGTATTGATTAAAGTATTTAGCGACAGACTAATATAAGCTGAAAAAACCCAATAGGGGAAATTAGATTTAAGTGGGTGTCTTTTTAATCTCAAGTATTTAGTCTGTCGAGGCAAGGGATATACATTAAAACGGAAACACCAGGCCATACTTTAAAAAATTACATATTTTAATGACAATAATTATTAGATTTTAAATTATTAAAAAAAGCTTTATTTACATTTGACGGTTTAATTGGTTCGCTAATAATCAATGGGCTGTGAGTTCAATTCCTACCGGATCCAACTAATATCTAAAAATTATTTTTCCCGAATCAAATCCAAATACTAAATGAGTGGTAAAAATATATAATTACGTTTAAATAAAACACTTTAACGGTTTAAAACGCGATATATTAGTTAAACTTATTTGAAAATGATTTTTAACTTCGGCCCACGTTTCGGATGCTTTGCAGCAGCCGTCTCCCCTGACCACGGCTGCTGCAAAGCATCCGAAACGTCGGGCCGAAGTTAAAAATCATTTTCAAATAAGTTTAACTAATATATCGGTTTTTAAACCGTTAAAGTGTTTTATTTAAATGTGTATAATCGTAAACACAGTATTTATATATAATTACGTCCTCGTTACGAATTACAATTCGCAAATAGATACGCCATAAATTATCTACATAATCTACATTTTGGTTTCACACGCCGACATATCCAAAGCCGACAACATAGGTCGACAGCGTAATTTTTAATCGTCAATTTGGCTGGGGGCTCCGTGCTTTATAGTGGCCACTAAACCACTCTCGGTATCGTAACTGGTGGCTAAACAATTGAATTAACATCAAGGTCAGATTAGCAATAAATAAAAACGCTGAGTAGTAATTACGGAGTATCATACGAGTCCAATTTCAGCGGCCATAAAATCCTCCTGAAGACTGAAAGCATACTAATTGTAATGAATAACGCCGCTCAAATGTTCCTCGAAACGGTCTCGAACTCTGGATTACTATCAATCTTATTGCGCCGTTTAGATAACAAACACTGGAGAGAAGTTTGTAATAAATCGCTCGGAACTGGGTCAAATGTGAAAACTGCCTATCGGCTGTTTTGTACAAACGCGTTATGTAGAATAAAAAAGTCTTAAGCACCTAATCGTAGTAGGGTAAATAACAATTTTTATTTAATAACAAAATTTTACACTTTGAAACGGTTTTAAACCCGAGATATATTGAATTTAAAGTTTAAAAATTATTATAATAATACTTATTTAGAGTAGTAATAAGTTGATATAGTCGTCTTAGTCAATGTTTTAAATCCTCCTTTAAAGAAATCAATTGAGATAGGTCTCCTCTCGTCTGCCATTTGAAAGACTTGACGTCAAAGCTATTTTGCCAATACCGATAATGAACCGAGTCTACTAATTCTGAAGGGTTCTCCGAGGTTTCGACGTGGGCGCAGCTGAAGCCCATAGTGAGCCCAGATGCATTTTTACTTTCAGCACATGAAGACCACGTCACACGTGACCGGCTGTAGCTTTCCATTATTCAACGTCGCTTACGACGTTCCGTATCTGCGCCCTATCCATCTAATTCTGTCTGTGTTTTATTCTGCATGAGTGTGTTGATTTCCACTCTGTAAACTACCATACGATGGATTCACTGTTGTATTTTCTGTCATAGCAACCGCCTTGAAACGTTCTTACTATGTAGTGTTGCAAGTTAATTGGTGTTTTGGTTCAGTTTGACGTATGTAGTTGGTTAATTTTAGTTTGATTTGGAAAGCTCAAATGATTTGATTAAACGTTGGAATAATTAAATAAACAGGATATGATCGACTCTCACCAAAAATACTTTTTTTTATCAGCCTTAACACGATAAAGTAGTTGTTATTTTGTTATTTTTTTCAGTAAGACTAACAAAAAATAAGAAATAACATAGTGTTCGAAATTCCAAACGAAGATGGATATTACATTTTTAAAATAGAGATAAGGTTTATAACATCATAAGAAAAACATTGCAAGTGATAAATGTTTATCACTTATCTTATTTCAATTTTTCTTGCAATAAAAAATCACGTACTTGTCTCACTCTCTTCTTAGAAGCGGAGACTCGGAAGAGGCCCATGGTGTGAAGACCATGTCGGCGAAGATGGGCCAAACAAGCGGAGACCAGAGCTGGAACCCTGGGCCTGCCTCCGCCCGCCTCTTCAAGCCCAGCCCAACCCCAATCACCCGAGTCACAGGATTCACTCTGCAAATTATAGTAAAACACATAAATATATGGGTTTTTAATTTTACTTAAAGATTGGTGACCAGAAATCTACAATCTAACGACGAAATCATTTTTATTAATTTGAAACTTATATTTAACCTTGTTAATTTCACAGAAAAAAAGAAATAGAACACAGTAGCTAGCTAGTAGATAAGAAAGTATGAAAACCTTTGCATTTTGGCTCAAATTATGATGTCAATATGTTATCAATGTTTACTGTCCGAATGTAATATGCTTTATATTACATTCCTTTTCACTGAACACAATGTCTTGCTAGGGAATTTAAGAGAATTACTTACTTGCATATGTATACTAATATATAAAGCTGATGAGTTTGTTTATTTGTTTGTTTGAACGCGCTAATCTCGGGAACTACGGGTTCGAATTGAAAAATTATTTTCGTGTTAGTTAGAGCATTTATTGAGAAAGGCTATAAAACATCGCGCTGTGACTAATAGAAGATTACAAGATACAGCGAGAAATGTGAACAAAACGTGGAATTTTTTCATCTCTGTAAGTTTCAGATGCGTACTCTGCGAAAACGGTTCAAGATACCTAAAAAATGTGTATGAAAGAATGATTCCTGTTTAAATGATATTAAAAAAAATTGTCAGTGACACTATATCTTTAAAGATTAACTTGCAAGAACGACGGAACCCGAAAGACGGGTGAGCGACGGGACGTGTTCGATGTCGATGTCTGATAGCAGTTTAAATTTATAAAGATGAAGAGTTTTTAGAGGTTTGCAAAAAATGGGTTTCCTCCCCGTATGCCATGAAAATGACTCACTCATCCACGTCAACATAACACTTATGCTGATTTGTAGCTAAACAGACGTAAAATTTTACAATCTATAAATCTTTGAAAAGTGGTTTTGAAGTCGTAAAGTGAAAGTGTACAAGTTCATAGGCATTTTCCGTAATTTTCTAAATGTGTCTTTGTTTAAATGAAGACAACATGATTAGGTTATCTACAAAATGCTACAAAGGTCACACTTTGAAAAATACTTTTTGTTGTGTTCTGTACCTTATTATTGTTTCTAAATGAACGTTTTGTTACCAGTCAGTATCATAAACTTTATTATGACACCATATTTTGTCTGTAAAATGTTAAATAAATAGTATTTTAAAATCGTTTCAAATTCCGCTAGTAACTGTAAGCCTATATCGATCTTTTTCTGGCCTAAACGTCATAGTATAAAATTATCGTGGCCTTTCATTAAGGCCAGGTAACCAGATATTCGTGACGTCAGCATGACGACTTGCTACGTCAAATTTGACCTATCTGCTTCGGCGTATGTCTTAATAGATGGGTCAAATTTTAACTTACTGGTTTATTTAAATAAAACACTTTAACGGTTTAAAACGCGATATATTAGTTAAACTTATTTGAAAATGATTTTTAACTTCGGCCCGCACGTTTCGGATGCTTTTGCAGCAGCCGTGGACGGTAACTAATATATCGCGTTTTAAACCGTTAAAGTGTTTTATTTAAATGTGTACTACTCGCGTAAACTTAGACTGTACTGGTTTAGCTATGATTTAAGAGTTATTTGTTTTTTACGTACAAGTTTTGTGTTCAAAGACAATAGACTTGCACGTTTTCCGTCTCAAATGTCAATGCCATCCGACGAATTAGTGATCCCGAAATATATGCTCGCGAGTGTATTTTGACACAAGCGATGACGTCTTAACAGCTGGTACTTTATAGCTTTTTTTATTGAGTTTTATTAACTTCCTTATTGATGACTTTGAACTATAACTATGACTACTTAAACAAAGCGAAAATATTTTATCTAAACATTTCATTTTTCGTCACTTTGATCAGAGAATCATTTTAGCTTTTGTTTAAGGAGGCGTTTGAAGTAGGTTTTTGTGTTTTTAGTTATGTATATGTACTAACCTATACCAGTGATGACGTACAGTACCGAAACATGGTCTCCCACCGCGAGCATGGTGCACAGACTACGCGTCGCTCCGCGTGCGATGCATATGGCTATGAGGAGATCCGTAGGAGAACTAAAGTCACTGATATAGCCCATCGAATTGGCAAGCTGAAGTGGCAATGGGCTGGGCACATCGCTTGACAACACTGACGGCCGTTGGGCAAAAAGGTTCTGGAGTGGAGACCACGTACCGGACGTTGAACCTGGACTTTTTTCCTGCCAGACCCTTCTTACATAAGACAGAGGGTTATAGGGTTTAGACCCACCGCGATACTCCACTGAGCTTAAGACTTTTACACCTACTATGTCCAAGAGAACGTACTCTTTGATCATCTACTTCTCATTTCTTACTCAAGACTGTTAGCTGTTAATCTAAATTGCGAACGGGTTATGAATCCTGAATCTAGTTATCTCTCGTCGAGTCTACCAAACCAATCAGAACTGTTGAACAACTACCATCTCATTTAATTGAAATGTTAAAAACCGTGTGAGCGGTCTAATGCCACTTAATGCATATAAGCAGCTAAGATGCAACGCCTCCTCCAGTGCGCACAAATCACCGAGCTGTCATTACATTGATGTGTTCGGGCAGTATTAGTTGGCCTGTGTCATATAAACGCCGCCCACGGCTCGTCTGTGATTTCGTCTGCACTGCCGAATACGAATCGTTTACTTGATGTCTTTATGGATATTTACGTTTGGCTTGAAGGTACTTTGAACTAGCGTGGAAATAGATTTCTGGGTGGTGATAATCGAAAATTCTTTCTCTCTATCATTGTTTTTAAAATTTCAAGAGCAGACGTAGAATTCATTGTCTTGTTATTACACGAGTACGGGGTACGTTATGGTGTGATTTGTCTACTCGGCATTGCAATAAATAAAGGACGTTAGCTTTCTGTGGGACATTGGGTGAGAATTTTGTAACCGTTCAATGATCGCTTTTAATTGCAGTTTAATGTATAAACTGAACTATTTGAAAACTTTAACATTTTTCAGTTACATAAGTTAAAAATCAATGACCAATTGGCTAAAGCAACAGCAAGGCCAGTGGATGCCGGTTCAAGTCCTGCAAGAGTCATAAACTATTTTTAATCGGAATGGATTTTATTTATTTTTATATTGTAATCGCGACGTGTCTGACGATATTTTTTATAAGAATTGAGGAAGTTCTAACAGCTAAAACGCAACAAAGAAAATTAGTAATCGTGTAATTACGTCAATGGTTTCCGAGACCTTAATATTCGCCTTCATCTAAAATTATTCCGGCAAATTAAATAATAGTGTTAAAACTAGGGTTGACAGTCTTTTTTTCTGTGAACTAATTAGATGGTAGCATCTACAATCATAAATTGAAACTTAAAACTTTATTTTAAAAAAAGAAAAAGAGCCAACTATTAAGATATGGGGATCATTTGATTGGATCTGAGCAAGATGTGCTATCGACCTATTTTGGCTTACGATAATTAATTTGTCACCGTTGAAAGGACAGTTTTCAATCTACCATTCTCTCTTTAGACCAGCAGGATGAAACGCTGTGGACGCCGGTTACAATTTGGCTTATAAAACTATTCATAACGTTAAGTAATTCGTTACCAAAATTTGTGTCTAAAATATGCATTATTTTAATATATTATTCTCTTTCTAACGAGACTAAAGACACTTTAATTTAGTTATAATATTTTAATTTATCTGCGTTGGCAGCCCTACCCCGCGTCTGGCAGCTAACAGCTAACGGCAAACAAAAGCCATGAGCAGTAAACAGCGGTTGTAAACGTGTCACGATTGCTTCTGTTGTGCTCCGCGCTGATTTATGTCCGCGATATTGGTACAATGTCTTGGCTACGACGGAAAATGACACAATTCGACGCTCCAAGTAGCGAATAGACTGAAGAACTTAATGAAATTGCTAAAATCTTTGTTTAGACATTCCTAGTTTCACTTCATTGAATAAGGCTTAAATTATAGACTATAAGGTTTTAAAAGTTTTGTATAAAACGCCTTATATTAAATGATTGTTTAGGAATGATAACAATGATATTTAAATAAAACACTTTAACCGTCTAAAACCGGCAGCCGTCTCCCCGAGACTACGGCTGCTGCAAAGCATCTGAAACGTCGGGCTGAAGTTGAAAATCATTTTCAAATAAGTTTAACATATATATTGCGTTTTAAAACGTTAAAGTGTTTTATTTAAATAAATGGGTACTACTCGCGTGAACTGTAGACTGTATTTAACAATGTTTTATATAATATACCCTTTAATTCTATTATATCTTTTTATGACAGTAGGGGACATAGAAGCGTGGAATTCACTTAATGAACGGTGAAATACTCCAGCCATAGGACATCTCAATAAGATGCACATTCAACCTATTTCTGCTTTGGATATTTGAAAATCCACAGACTGAAACCGAAGAGCAATATACTTCACGGCTTTTTATCTGCGGACGATAATTCGTAACTCGAATGAAATTTCGGTATTCCTACCATCGAATTAAATATTTAGATTTCCAGATGAAGTCCAACACGTTTCGGAAAGTAAATAATTTATTAGAAACATGTTGGAACCGTTGGGGTTTGAACTCACGACGCGCCCGTCCATGTCTAGTCCAAGAGATAAGCATCTCGATATGTGATAAGTGCAACAAATGAAGCGGTCCTGCATGGTGGATAGGCCCAGGTGCGCGTTACGTGTCTTGGCTCGAACGCGCCAACTATTTCTGAACTTACAAATAGCTAATGCCAAACACTTATTCTGCATTACCTATTTGCTATTATTTATTTACTGACTCCATTTTTGTCTTTATTTACCATTATTTTTGTACTATTCGAGTGACAGAAATGTCCCTGTCTGTTTCACTGGCGGATTTAATTTGCCCTGCCCGACCAAAATGATTTTTTATGTTTTGGAATACAAACTTAAGATGTCTCGGGCGTAAGGCAATGCAAAATATACGTATATATATATTTAACCATTTACATGCTCCGTCACGAAGTAAGTACTAGAACTGAAATGGATTTTTCACAGGAAAAATCAATGTTGTGTCTGCGTTTATTTCCGTTCATTTATCATTTCAAACAGTCAAACTGTTTTCTTTTACAGTAACAAGACTAAGTACGGTTAAAAAATAAAGAAAAATATATTATGGTATAGATTAAATTAAATGATAGAATAACGTACAGACGTGGATAAAATGACCCATAGGTTTGTATAAAATAATTATTTAGAAAGTATTAGCAAAAGAAGGAGAAAAGAAAAGTAATAAAGAATTTTAGTGCATTACTCACATCATCTCCTTTCTCAAGTGTACTGAGAGAGGCGAGGGACGCCCGGGACCCGCTGTGCTGCTGTCTCCGAAGGGCGCGTTCTGTCTCCACACATTGGGCGAGCGGGACACCGAACACGCTACCCGTTGGCTCTGTAGAAGAAATAAGGAATTTAGTCCACTAGATTTTTTAAATTCTCATAAGCACTCACTTTTGAAATTTAAAAGTTAAATAATATTATGTATTTATAAAGTTGAAAGGTCGCTACTTAAGTAATAGATTAAGATAATTGCTTAATATTATAGCTATATTAATTTAGATTATTTTGCAGAAGAGTATTAGTAAAAGGTTGTTTTATTATCAAGTTTACAATATCACAAGGTGTAAGACTAAATAGTTAGTTAGGACGTGAAAGCAAAGAAACCTACTATAGTAGTAGGTTTCTTTGCGGTATAAATAATATTCTCTAGCTGGCCAGTGGACTGAAAACCGACGCATCACCGCTACTCTTAGGTTGTGATGCACAAGTTGAGTACCTTAATTCTCCAATTCACAAGTACAAGAAACTTCAATAGTGTAGTTAAACCAAAATTTATAATTGTTTGTCATATTATATGTATGTGCGTGTATGAAATAGTTTGAGTTTTACTTTGAATCTAGTATAGAAGGCTAAGCATTCAACAGAACTCTTTTTCGTATCTTAAACAGTTTTCTACCTTACACAAAAAAATCTGTAAGTTTGAGACACGGGGGCTGAATGTACGGCGATTATATGACGACAGACTTTTGTGAATTTCAGCGTGTGAATTAAAAAACAATTGCTCCAATTCCACGCGGAAGAGTGTTACAACATCGGCGACATAAAGCGAGCGATCTAAAAACGCGGCCATTTCGCATTGTGTGGATTTAGCTCGCCCAGAATAATCGGACGGGAATAGAGCGGCCTTTTATATCACAATATCTGCGCAGACGCTTATCACCCGTGAAAAATATATTAACTCCTACTATTTGTTACTCCATTGACTTATAGATTACAATGCTGATGTTATTACACTGCGCTGCTCTATACGATTCAAATAATTTATTCCACACCAAAGTACACATACAAAATCATACAGAATAAGAGTATTAAAAGATGGATTACAATTTATTATAGTTTTACCATAAGCGTCAAGAATATTTTATAAAACGCATTCTGCTGTTGCTGATTATCAGTGATCGGCCGAAATACACACATTTGCCTATTTAGAATGACCACTAAACCAGTAACTTTAAAATGAATAAGGAAAAGAAAAACGATCATTTGTGTCTGTGATGTGGAAAAGCCACGCCGTAATATAGTATTGTGTGAACACAGGTTTTAAATTGTTTATAGTAGCAGATAGTACTAAGCAGTTTAACTTACCGTAAAGTATCTTTTAACGTTACGTATGCCATTTCCTTTCTCTGCATTTTACTTTGTTAGTCACAAAATAAATTAATTTAATGAAATTAACTTAGCTATAATTAAGTATTGTCTGTGGTTTTCGCGAGTAGTGTCAGTTAGTTTCTCCATATACCCACAACGAAACAGATGGCGCTAACGTAGCAGATTTAATTTTGACATTAGGGGTAGTGACCACAGACGATGCTAACGTCCGAAACGTCGGGCCGTAATTACATTTAATATATAATACGCTATAGTAGTCTTAATTAAACATTTGTACAAATACCACAAAGAGAATATTTTCAACATGTTTTATTGAACGTTTGACGCAACGGATTGTATTTTTAATGAATGAGCCCGTTAATCTTAAACGACGTTGGCATAACCTTAAAATTAGTAAAGGCCAGTAAACACGCTTACGTGATTTAACGCGTTTAATTCTGTGTTAATTACCTCTCCTTCCACAACGCCTTCAGAAAGAGAAACATACACGAAATGCTAAGCAAAAGAATGAGATGCCGAGTGATCTTAAGCGGTTTCGCCCCAAAAAACCGACTCGTTTGACAAACGTGACCCAAATATTGTGATAAACTCCAAAATCACTTTTACAATGTATAAAGGAGAATTGGCTGCGATTCAAGTAAACACAATAACATAAATTTATATTGATTTAAAAATAAATACCATCACACTTTAATGTCTAAGAAATAGTCTAGATCTTGGCTTTTAGTTTTATTAGATCAAATCAAATCGCACTGACTTGACCGTTCAGTGTATCGCTAATAATCAACGGGCTGTGGGTTCGATTACCACGGGGTCCGACATTTTCCTAATTTATCATTTTCTGCAACATGTTGGGTTTCGTCTGCAAATTTGGATATTAAAGGCGCAGTAGGAATGTAGAAATTACGTCCGAGTTCTTATATGAAAAAGCCGTCAAGTTTAATCGCGTTTCGGTTTCAGTCTGTGGATTACTGAATATCCAAAGTCAAAATAGGTCGACAACACATCTTGTTTAGGTCTTATATGACTGGGGTATTTCACTTACCATAAACTAAGCCATGTCATTCTTGTCTGTCCTTCTCTATCATTAAAAACCATATAACATCTAAAGATGCGCACAACTTATTTTGGATTTGAATATTGCTTTAAACTTATGATACCAAGTCTAAAATAGTGTAATTTCTCGTCATATATTAGCAATTTTTATACTATACAATATATATATTTATTTGTACTCAACGGGTTTCAATAATTAAGATATGTATGAGATATTATTTACACAATAGACTAGTGCCTAGTATGTCACAGACACATTCCCAAAATTATAAACTATGACTATGAGTTCGAGAATTCGCTGAAATACATAATGTTAGGCGCCACGTACACACGCTATTTTTAGATACACTCTGTATGTGAGCACTGTCAGTCATCGCGTGTCGATATATTGTTATACATATATGTAAACATTTCGCGGAACGAGGCACGAAATTCTCTTAAGATTTTTATGGCAGGATAATAATAATTTTAAATACGATAATCGCCAATATGTTAGTCGTAAATCCTTAATTAATACCATTATGTAAACAATAATGAATACAGGATGTTTAATAAAATAGACAATGTCTAAAACCAAACTCGAACTATAGCTATTAGTGATTATATAGACACAATAACAATACATCAATGTTTATAATATATGAACCTCATCTGTTTTATTATACTTATATATTGTTTGTATTGGAAAGTATTTGAGTTTGTCTAAAGATATTATATGAGGAAGGATTTAAACCGCGTTGATCGGTTTAAGTTAGTGACTAAATAGTGTTGCCACCTCCAACCCCCCATGATACTAGTTTTTTTTTATGAAAGAGGAGGATTACACAGATACGCGGTGTTAACTTGATGGTGGGTGAAATAATCCAGCCATATAACATTTAAACAAGATGCCCTGACGATCTATTTTGGCTTTCGGCTTAGAACAAGTCGAGAAATAATTTCAAAAAGATTTCAAGTACTATCGTATCGTAGTATCATATCGCCTGAACTGGGATTTGAATCTGGAAACTTGTGATCTGCAGTCTAGTTCATTAACCACTAGAGAGACTAGGCTAGACAACATTTTAGTTAAGACGCGATGCAGACAAGAGCGACTCTTCAATAAATTCCCAATGACGTTCGAAGCTTCCCAAAAGCTATAAACAAAGTAGTGATTATTAATGATACGTGAATCGTAGAATTTCCACTAAAACAATCGTACATCGTTTTAAACTCAATAAAAGATGGACACTGCGCAGTCGTTCGGTCTAATGAATACATCAAACTGATTTATTTGCTGTCTGTACGCCGCCTCGTAACTTAAAACCGATTTTTATAACCGATTTATCTTTGCTCTGCTTTATTTCAAGTGGCAAGTTAAACAGATAATAGACAAAGTAATTTGTTACATCAAGGCAGTTGTCCAGACTCAAAAATACCGTTTCTTCAGAAACAAAAATATTAGTAAGTAGTGTTATTTAAGCGCGAAGCGTTATGTACATTTTTTTAATATATAAATATGTATTAAGTTTAATTTTCAAGTTTGTACACATTTAAATAACGGTTTAAAACGCGAAATATATTAATTGTTGTGGTAACCCGTTCATGGTAAAGCGGGTAGGCAATATAATATTACGTAACTTTGCAGCATCTGTGGTCACGAGGGGGCCGAAGATTGCGGGTGTCCCTAATGTCAAAACTGCTACGCTATCGCCATTTGTTCCTCCATAGTTCGTAAATGGAGACTCTTGATAGGTCCTTACAAAACTGCCTTGCGGTGTGTGTGTATCAGAATACTGATTTTTGGTATTATTAAAACTTTACTGTTTTATTTGTACTGTATCTACTTTGCTGTTTTATTAATGTCTCATTTTTAGTAACAATAGCCTTAATGGTATTTGTTAAAATTTAGTTACCCTTTTCCTTGTCAGTATCCTTTCGACTCTGGTCAAAGAAGCCCGTGGTGAGAGCTTTTCTCTTTAGAAGATATGCTCGTCTCTTCGGCTTTGTTGTAACTGCTGAAGTGTTATCTGTTAACAGGTATATATTTGTTAGAGTTTCAAACAAAGATAGATAGATTTAGATAATTAAATTATCAAAAACAAAAACAAACAATTTTACTTCTATAAGATGATGAACATGTTAAAATCCCGTTTACTCTATTCGGAGCGTTAGAGAGACACATTTTTAATAAGGTCCTTTTTCCTCGTGGATCGAACTTTAATCGAATATTTATTATACAATCATATATCTAGTATGGTAGAAATTCATTTTTCGCTTGTCAGTCTCGAACAGTCTACTTAATAAAATTAAACACTTTCAACGGCTTGAATGTCGAAGTTTCGGTGTATCTCCGGTAATTATTTGTTAAATTTTCCCCAAAAACCTTATCTTTGTATGTACATTTGTTTAAATAAAACACTTTCAACAGTTCAAAACGCAAAATGTATTACTTAACTTATTTACATTTGCATTGCATTGCTACGCGAAACTGTCATTCATTTATTTCAATGTTCACATGCGGAAACTACAGACAATAGTGTAGTTTTGTTGTTAGAGTCACATCACCATAATATTCCATTAAACATTTGGCCTTCGACCATAAAGAATATTTTCAAGTATAAAAATACATTGACATAAAACTATACACGCGGCTCGAGTATGTCTTCAAAACAGATATCGAATTACTACTTCAAGGTGCTTCGGGCTTTTAATGTTTTTATTTGTTATTTTTCGCACACGGTATCAAAGTCTATACACGTGAAATATTAGTGGGAAAATTGTGACAACACTTCGTGGCGCGGGGAGCACTCGATGGACTGTATAACATTATACAAGACGATGCGCTGACATATAATATAGGTTATATTAGCTTTGGATATTCAGAAAACTAAAGACTGAAGCTGAAGCTGAAACAATTTCCAATTCTTTTTAGGACGCAGGTTCATAACCCGGAATGAATTTAGATATCACTAGCATCCAATTACTATGCAAATTATACAGACAATGTCTAACATTTTCCAGGAAGATTATAAATTGATTTTAGATAGGAACATGTTGGAACAGGTGGGAATCAAACCAACGACCTGTTGATTCCCAAACATTGCCATTCACCAAATATATAAGGCTAAAAAAGAATTGCTGCATCTGTCGTGCTGCTAATGTACGGATATCATGAACAAATTGCTATTCAACAAGACATGAAAATATTTAAAGAAAATATTTGATATTATTGTAACGGAAATGAAGACAAATCACTATGATGGCAGAGTTTAAATTGTTGAAGATATTTTTATAAATGTGGGATAATTTCCATATTATTTCTTTATAAACGAAATGCTGCTATCGATATAAAGCAAATACTCAAAGTCATAATATTTGACATTCAGAATAATACTTAGGGAGTTGATTTTGAATCAGTCAAACAATCTTAAACTCCAGTAACTCAGCTGGATAAAAAAAGCAAAGTTAATAAAGGAAAATTTAATAGTCGTGGCTAAATGATATCGTGATCTTTAAGTTTATGTTTTTCTTTTCCCTCTTTCATGTACCTTTACTTGAAACCTTTCTTTGTTAAAAAAAGAAAAAGAAAATGCTCATTCTAGGCGAGCAGAATTGGCGCAGTGCATCGCGACATGTCACGCTGAGATAATGCAGGCGCGCCGAGGATTCCAAACTATATATAGATCTTAGAATGCAAGAAATTCCGAATTCATTTCTTATATTAACTCAGTGATGAACCGACTTGATTTCTTTATCAAAAGTAAAAATGAATAATTAGTAGATATAAGATAACATCTTAACATTTCCAAAATTAATGCCGGGCTGAAAAAGGGCAGCTTTCCTCCCATAGAGATGGTTAAAACCCACCATGCTGTTACACTGTGGTAACGACCACGGCCACTCAATTAGCAATTGATTGTAGTTTATACGCCACTGATCGTGGTTTGATTCCGCGCGAAACGATAAAATTTTCGGTCGGGTAAAGCACAGAAATCTGATAAACTACTAACTGAATAAACAGAACGTAGGTACATAAAATGTACACTTCCTTAATAAATTATCGTGAAACGAATTTTCACCAGCATTTCCTTTTTTGGCAAGAAAGAAAAATTAAACAAAATTCGCCTTCACGATGACACATAACCCGTGTTTTGAGCTATCACTGGGCGCGAAACACAAAACACAAAACACACATTCCGACATCATATTCTGTTATAACAACGCTTTAAACATATTTTTGATTGACATTTGTTATAACGTGTTGCCAACGAATTGTGGGGTGACCGCACACACGATATTTCTGTGACACGACTAATATTTATATAATACTTTTAACTCATCTAGGTACAAACGAAATCTTGTTTATATTCTCTCCAATATTTTTAGATTCATATTCATTGAAAATGTATGTGATTTATGTTATGTGCATTTCTAATTATTAATACATCGTTCTATCATTGTTTAAGTAAATGAATTTTAATTACTTGACCAAACGAGCGAATCGTAAGAACGGTATTGTCATAGGTTAAAATCTTTTTAAAAACAAAACCCAAATTGATTCCTATGAATGTAATACTACTTACTTCAATCATATTATAAATTACTTTATTTATAATAAACTTTAAGATCCAGCCTAGATTTAACTAGCGTTAGCATTGTTTGTACTTTACGCAAGTAGGACACATTTAAATAAAACGTTTACAACGCGAAGAGTTATTTTTAAATATGACCCGACGTTTCAGACGCCGCAATACCATAGTAACGGGGGAGAGCTTCATCTGCTGCATCTCAAGCACAATGTTTTGTTAAAATTAAAATAGCTTTTGTTGGGAGTCCGTCGATCCACAACCGATTACTACTACTAATTTGTTTGTACATTCCTAGTATCTTGTGCCGAATAAACATGACCGATGATAGCCAGACAAAAATGTGTTGTTCCAGAATTAACAGAGACAATAATAGTCATTGATGTTGAGTCTGCGAGCGTCGTCAATTATGGAATCAGTTGCATTATTTAAATGAAATTTAAACTTTCCTACATCGACAAACATGGACGTGTGTTCACGAAGAAATAGAAAAAGTTTAATTCTATGATACTAACCGAGAACTGGTATCGGGCACTCTATCGAGAATTGTGTATTATGAGTCTTCTTCATTTACTCCAAATAATTCTATATTTTTGTACCTCTTGATCATGTATGATTTCCATTTGACGATATTTGTTTCAGTGAAAATCGCTCAAGCGTAGCTCTATGCTACGAAATGCTACGTGGTATATAAATTAGACATTAATTACCGAAATTATATTTATATATATATATTTTGTGTTTATTTTTTTTAGTCCACTCAACATGAAATGAATAGTAATGAGGCTTTTGAATAGTAAGCTAAAGACTCTAAAAATATATTATTGTAATTTACGCGAGTAGTACACGCTTAAACAAAACTTTTTCAGATGTTTTAACCGTAAAACTATTTATATTTAATTTGTTACATTAAATATGCATATGCATAATAATTTTTCGTAGAATTCGTTCTGTAATCTGTCACCCTACTGAACTTCCATCACAGTTATGGCGGTTTTTTTTTACTTTCGGATAAAATCAAAAATGTTGTAAACACAGGCATATAATGAAATATTTCACATAACTCCCAGCGTTTATCCTTTATCCATAATGTAAATGTGAAACGAATCACATAAATCGGAAAGCTATATATTTCGAAACGCAATAAACACCTCACATATTATAGGATATAATTTTAAAGTAAATGTAAACATCGCACGTAAATTTGTTGTTTGCCAACTGGGAGGGGCGTTCTCAGCTAAATTACCCACCTACAGCGAAATTCTTAATCAAAAATAATCTCTTAAGAAACTCATCAAAACGCGGGGCACGTGAGTGCGTTGTGTTGCCAAGTATAAAATGGATTGAATGTCATGCAACTGAATATGTAAATGGCCTATAATAATTCGATTAAACAAAATACAAAGCTATTTACAAATAGAGAGAGAGTATATTTTGGCTAGTCGAAGGTTGTTTATTTTTGTTAGGGGTCAAATTGTATAGTTAAAATGAAAATGTTCGCAATCAGAATTCTATTTATTAATTACCTCTTGAATACATTTATAACCCCCGTAGTTCAAGAGATCGAGGATTCGAAGCATGGAAAACCATCAGATTCAAGTAGACACTGATATGCCTGCCCGATGCCTCAAACAGGGCAACGAGATTTTACTAATAGATTGTATCTACTTAACATGGACACTTGTATTGTCTTACGGGGCAGCTCCACAAGTAACCATGTGATGTCGAGTGACGTCACCATGCGTCACTACGACGTATTTATTTAAAGTCACGTCTTGTAAATAGCACATGTCTCGCGCGTCAAGTTATTTACGGCGCCACTAGGTCATCTGTGCAGCTTTAACTGTACTTTCTACAAAACCGGCCCGACACATTATTATGTGAAAACAATTGACTACCTTCGAAAAAAAATGTGCGGGTAGGAAATAAAATTGCAACAAGAATTGCCATATTGTGTGTTGTTTTATTCCTGTAGTAAAAGTTATTAAGAAATTTAGTGTAGGTACTACTTGTTTAGTTCGTTTTTAATAATGAGTTGGAAATGCTTGAAGCATCATTTTTACTGCGACAGCAAGCGACAAACGATGGCTCTGCCGATTAACATAGCGTGATTCGTATGAATAACTAAACTAAACGAAGGAATTGAAAGACACGGTTTTGTTTAAAAGTTTGTCATGAGCACGTCGTTTTTAAAAGCAACCTACACAAACGTTACCTGAAGTGTAAAACTAAATAGTTTGGTTGAAATTGCGTGAGATATTTCGGGCGCAGTGTAGCTCTTTACCGGGCTATAAATGAAATGGGATAAGTACTCGGTCTATTAATGTATCGCTGAGAAATAATGGTTTGCACATCACCCTGTTCTCATGGATAATTTGCTTGATTTACCGTACCAACGTTTAGCTTTTATGATGCGAAATATGTGAATTAGTTTTCGCGCATAAAAAAATTATATTCAGATACTACCTAAACATCTTTATAAACTCGATTTAAAACTTTTTAGAGACATGATCAGTTTCATTTGGAAAATCTGGATAATGAAAATATCTAAATTTATTCCGTAGATTAAAAGCCGCATAGTGTAATTGCATTTTCATTTCCGTTTTTTTAAATGTGAGCAGAATAGTTAGACAAATCATCTTATTTAGATGAGGTACCTTCCGGCTAGTGAAAGGCTTAGACAGGCCTCTCTCATAAAAATATCACTGCATGAATAAGAATACATTTGACGTTCAATAAATATAAATTATATAACTGTAAATAGAAGTGTGGATACCGGTGAAGTCCTGCCCGTGTCGTGAGATTTTTAATTTTTAAAACACGGCCATTTTGTAGAGCAAAGTCAAATGTGTTTATCGATTTTAAATTTTTGAGAATGAATGATAATTTGAACGATATTATCATATACAAATAAGAACAGTGCTGAATTCCATGTAATTTCAGTTTTTGTTTAACGTATTAATATATATACGAGAAAATCGCGTTTCCTCAAAGCGCATGTTGAATATTTTTTCACAAGATCTCGTGTTACTTTTTCATCAAGGCATAAACAGTTAAAGCCCTCTCAGCTTCAGGATTACCGCGTGCACTTGACTTGGTCGTCTGCCAGTTGCTGAGTTAGTGAGATTTATTCCCTTTTAATCATTACACTTTAGCCCACGTCAACACATGTTCACATCTCTTTACATTCGTTGTTTCTTGCTTTTTAGATTGATACATGCAATAGTTTTTCCCAAAAGATAAAAAAAGGTTTAAGATTTTCTTATAATAATCGACGTCGTGGCTCAGTGGCAACAGTGAAAATGAAATGTTTCGGTCGGGCAGGGCATAAAGGTTAATTACACAGAAAACATAGTAATTTGTTCGGGCCATGCCCACAAAATATTTTATATTTTTAATTTTCAAATAAAACGTTGTGACAGATGAGAATTTAAATATATTTAAGTTACATTTTAAATTTAAAAATCGATGGAGGATTAGGTCTCGAGTGTGCCATTGACTTAAAGTGACATAATTTTACAAAATCAATAGTTATTGTTAATAAATATGAGCGGTGGTGAGGTAATACCAATTAGTAATTACGATACAGGATTCGATGTCCAACCACAATTGTAATTTAGACACTACGCCAGCATAATAGATTAAAGCCTTGTATTTTCCGTACGCATTTTGTGTTGTATAAAAAATACTGGATATAAATAAATGTATACCTTCTGGTATCTTGATAGGAGTACCGATGTTGAGCTGCTGCAGCCTGGCTAAAGCGGCCTGCTGCAAAGCCCTTCTCTCCACTTCGCTGAGGGTCAGCAAACTGGTGTCGGTAAGCCTCACGCAGCGCCCGGACCCGTCTGTCCAGCAACAGCTGCCCTGCACAACGCGTCACGTCATCAAACTAAACAAGTTGTAGACTTTACAAACTTTACACGGCGATATAGTACAGGTCTTTCTTTCTAATCAATTTGTATTTTTTATAAACATGTTGGACTTCATCTGGAAATCCGCATATTATGTGGGTGATAAAGAATACCGAAATTCTGCGCGGGTCACAAACGATCGTCCACCGATAAAAAGCTGTCAATATCATTTATGTTTCAGAATGTGGATTTCCGAATATCCAAAGCCAAAACAGGTCGAGAGTGCATCTTATTACGATATTTGGTATATGGCTGTTTCACATAGCAACACGTGTTCCATGCTTATTTTTCCTCCTACAAAGTACTTACTCGTACATGTACCAATCCATACTTTTGATATTAAATACTATGATGATTAAAGGAATTATGATTGTATTAGTTTTATTTTATAATTTTAATAAAATATTTAGCCCATGTTAAGAGTAGTTTGAAACTTCGTTCAATTAAATCAGTTAAGATTCGATGCCCGAAACGTGAAATAAATAAATCATTTATGTTGTTCTCTTTCTGTTGCAAGCTTATAACGAATTTGATTTGTATAATTCATATTATAGTTTTCAATACAGATATACAAATTATAGCAATATAACGGACGGTAAACAACAATATAACTGTACTAGGTCTTAGATTCAGTTCCTGTCATAAAAATAAAGATCGTAAAGTGCAAGGTCGTTTTCGTCTTCTCAAAATATTACAATAAAATTCGGTAATTCGTTCCTAGCAGGACGTCCCTTTCCCACCCACGGGGACATTATGTGTAATTTCTTCTTCACACAAGATCAAAGACAGACACATATAATAAACTCGTAAAGACCGTCTGAATCACAAGACTCATCAGTTAATGTCAATATAAAAAGCATACAGCGTTTTGCGTACTATCATGTTCGACTAATAGAAATTATTATGTTTACCAGCCAAAATATATTATAAATATTAATATTTTTTTTATTAATTGTATAAGGTGAGTTCTGTAAAGCTTTTCTTTCAGTTATTATTCGATATGTGAATATAAATTTCGCTATTTTTAACTTAAAAATTACTTTGAAAGATTTTTTTTTGTTTATGTGTTTAGCACGACCGTCTAGAATAATGACATTACATTCCTAGTTACTTAACACAAAAAAGGTTTTTTTCCTAACAAATGTAAGAGTCCAAACATTGATTAATTTCGAAATTTTAAATATTTCGTCAAAATTAGAATTAAGAGTGAAATAGACTGCGACATTGTGGAAAATCTTTTGACTCAGATAAAATATGAGTTTTGTCTGAGAGTACACCCACGCTTTTACGTTGGGATTTCCAAATCTATGACTATTTCATTGGTGTAAAAATTAAATACAATCATTTTAACGGTTTAAAACACGAAACAACACTTTAACAATTTATTATTGTTTTGGAAGCTCGGTGAATTATCATAATTCTTCGAGCAATCGAGGAGCTCAAATCTGCTGATGATGCCGTCCGCTCGTGATGGCGAAACGTCGAGAACCTCTTCTCGCTTACGTCGGCCAATAGACAATGATGTGCTAAACGATGGACCTGTAAGCCTAACTCTCTGTTTTGGACCAGTTACATAAACTAGAGATGACTTAGTTTTTAATGTTTATTCATTTGACCTTATTTGTGATATCTATAAAAAAACATAAGGGAAAATGTTACATGCGAAATAAGATTCGAATAACATATTAAATATGTAAATATCACTGCTTGAGCAGATGAATTATACTATTTAAATTTTGGTATACTGTTATACTATGTGCGTTTTTATATAAAGATAGAAAGAGAATATAAAGATTTACTTTTGAAAATATTTAGTTATGTAACCCATAATTATATTTAATAATAATGACAAAAATGTGATAAATGTAACTTATAATCTCAAGTCAACTATCGCAAAAAAAAATAACCAAGAACTACTAAGATTGCCTGTGAGCGTGCGTTCTTTACACACTTTTTATTTGTAGTCTCTCACTGCTACTGGATGTTAGTAAATATTAAATAAAAGAGGTCAAATACTATGACAAACGAAACACTTCTTCAACGACAGTCTTTAAATAATAGTCACTTTGAATAATATATCGTTAAAATGTCAACGCAAACGTGAATTTGACATTTACGAGTATGATTACTTCTTATAGATCTTTTTAGGTTTTTTATCAAACATTTATGTGTTGCAACATTATTATTTGGATTACAGTTAATTCGAATCATAGTAGAATTTAAAAATGGATTTTAGGTTAAAAAAATTCATGACACTCGCAGGTCTTGAACCGGCATCCACAGCTTTCCGTGCTGTAACCAATTGACAAGGCTCTAATCAATTGATAATGTAGCTCAATGTAACGTAATTTTATCCAATGTAAAATCGATTATTTATTTATATAGTGTCGTTATGTACAATGTAAAAAAGAACACAAGTTTTCTACTAGTAGATAGAAGTTATTTAATTTTAAGTTATAATTAATATCATTCGTAACTACTGTTTCATATCCTATAAAAGCAATGTTTCTAAAAATCTAAAAGCATTCCTTTTTTGGTTATAGCCCCTAATGTCACTAGCATTTTCTATATTTACTTATGTTATTAAATTTTGCGATAGAAGTAAAAAGAAACATACGTTTTAAGTTTTATGTCATATAAACAAATACCTCGATGATATGTATATAAATCATAATAATCCGTTCAAAATTATGAGAAACCCGTTCTAAATAGACGCAACTAATAGGCCTGGCAAGTGGTGACAAATATGTCAATACGCAGACCGGAAACGGCGAGCGCTGATCATAATATTTCGGTGATAGATATGATAGTCACGCGCAAGTAATAGGCTGGAGCGAGTAACTATCGTATATTTTATTTTAGCAATATTGCCTTACTCATGAGGATTTCTTGTGTTATTAGTATATAGCCCGTTTCTCTTTTTGAAGCTGTTGGTCGAAAAATGAAATATCCAAGCCATATCGCCGCGATGGTATTTTGGCTTTGAATATTCAAACGTGATTAAACTTCACGGCTTTCCATCTGCGATGGGTAGTTTGCGACCCAGACAGAATTTCGACATTCGGTATCCAAATGCAGATAAAGTCCAAAATGTTTGAGAAAAAATATTACGCGATAAGAAACACGGTGAATCGACTATTTTTATTTTACAGACAATGTAATTTAATGCATGCAAATTGGTGAAATATCTATCTGAAATATCTTTTTTTTGTGGGGGGGGGGGGGGAAGAAATCGACATAGGCGAAAAGGCCGCCTTTGCAGAAACATGTTTATTTTGTATATATAATTCTAAGTGTCTATGTTCCTATGCATATATATGTTTGTACAATACAGAATTTTATTATTATTATTAAGCGTTTTAAAACAGACGACTAAATATAAAGCGTTTATAAAAATTGCGTGCTGTCAATACTATTTATTAACAGGTAAACGCTTTACACTCAGACCACACTGCTACGGAGCAAAAGCGAGAGATCGTTATCGACCGATTTATATGAGCGAGAAATTATTCGCCTATTTGTTGAAAACTAATGTGGTATGCGGAATCATCACTTGTAGTATTGTGATGAGAGTGTGAGTAATATGGAAGGCAAAGTGTTTGTATTCAGCAATCGATAAATTGTCGAGACCCTCTGTCTTGTTTTGCAAATCCGATTAAAATATCAGTCAGTCTTTCTTTACTAAGGATTAATAAATAATGTGTCGGTAACATTAAAGTATACAGGAGCAAAATATACCAACATTTTAATAGAAGTACTATATGAAATTATAACTAAAACGGAGATCGGTTTCATCGTTAAGCCAAATCCAGTACAGTACAGTAAAGTACAGACAGAGGAGTCCGATCAACTATTTGCTTGTAAAACGATCAGGGAAACACATAGGTTTACTTATGTCTGCCCCATATAGGGAAAATAATTTAACAATTTAAGCTCTCAATGTTTAAAACTAAAAGTGCTTTCGTAGCGTCGAGTCGTAGCCTTTTCTCGTAGCATTTGTGTAGCGTCTTGTGCTACGAAAAAGCTACGACGAGGTAATCATTTTATAATATAAACTTCAAGTGTCCCATTGTTTTATGTATTGTACTCTTAAAGTATCTATACAATTATTCATGTATATTTGTTAATTAGTATCTATAATAAAATAATAAATGTTAACGACTGACCTGAGGTGTCCACGAAGAGGCAGCTCGGCTGGAGGACCGGCTCCGCGTTCGCCATAGCCGCTTGCTGACACTTTGCACCACGCTGCTCGACGACCGTGACTTCTGCATGCCACCTGGGGGAGCCACCGATGTACTTCGACCCAACAGAGACCCCAATAACGAGTGCGACTGAGTCGGAGACGTAGGAGTCGAGGCGACAGATGAGAATTGCAATTCCCTATACCTTAAAATCCACGCCTCGTCTGTCTGAACCCCCTTATTTAGCCCATCATCGTCCACGTCAGTCGGTAGACGCGGCTTTATATTTCGGAGATTCTTATCGTAATTAATGCGTTTGAAACGATCAGTCTTGTCCGCGTCCACGCTTTTCTTACGTGCCATTTTTAAGTAGCGTTTAATAGTGTCACTCACTGACTGTGACACATCGTCGTGGTCGACGCTTGAGCGACGCCGTGGTCGCCGTTCCGGTGGCGGGCTAGTGGGACTGGTGGGGGATGTGGGAGCTTCCAGTTTCTCCCTGTAAGCTTTTTCTAATTCCTGTAGTACATCTTCTGGGATTGGATCCGTTTGTGTTCCAACGTCAGCGCCCCGCTCCTCTTGGGACTCACTGAGAACCTCGATCAGCGGTGGTGGTGACATCGGCGGTGGACAGTCTTCATCGTTAACATATGTCTCACATAAATTTCTACCCCTAAAATGGACCCGAGAGCCCGATGCACTAAACATGGAAGCTCCACTGTAACCACCCCCACCGCTTCCTCCACTCCTTCCGCCACGATACGGCTTTGTTTTACGAAGATCATGGTATAGGTTTTTTAACAGATTCCTGTCGTTTAAAATATCCTGTACAGGCTGGGTGTTTGATGTTCTACTATAATACCTATTAAGATGCTCTCGGAGTATCCTCTGGGTGGGGTCCGAATCTGAGTCAGACGGTGAACGCTCAGTCTGCCTTTTAAGGTAATTCCGAAGCGCTTGCATTAGTTCCTCGCATTCTGTAAGTTGAGAGGTGCTCTTTTCCTCCTCTATTTTCAGGTACTTTCGTAATAAATCAACTAACACACCTTCATCATTATCCCTACTATCAACTTGTGTACTAACACTTTTGGCGCCGGCATTAAATGCTACATTGGACGGACTATAACCTGATGAAGATGGCGGTGGGTTAGCGAAGAAATCTCTTCTCAATTTCGCGATATCAAACCGACCGCCAGAGGTGTGCGGAATAAACAGTTCTGTTGGACGCACAGGAGCCACCGGGGTGTCATCTGAAGGCGATCTCGCCCTCACGGAACCGCCTCGAGCACGTTTCTTGCGGCGAGGGCGAGCAAGCACACCCGGATAGGAACTTTTCCGCCACAGTAGAAACCGCGGTTCCCTTTGGCAAACATCCTGGAAGTACGCTTCGATCCTCGGGACGTCCTCCTGGCGGTTCTGAGCTCCGTCCGGGATGAGCCGGCGGCCCGCATCTGCCATGTACTTCCACGTCTTCCTCGTGAGGAGCCATCTCTCCCGAGGCTTTTCCCTTCGGCGCACGGTCTTGGTCATGGGTTCGGCGTCGATGCGCGCGGGGCGTCGTCGCTCCATGCCGGCGGTCGTCAGCGGCGCGCGCGGTCCCGTCGCCGCATCTCTCGGCCTCGGCGCGCGCACCTGCCCGCGCGAAACTGAACGTTCAGCACCGTACAGAATATTATGCGCCGAAATAGATGTCCGGTAATAGAGCGGCCGTGAACTGAATATAGGGTGGTATCGCACGGTGCTCGGCGCGCACTGCCGAGTGCTGCCGCGTAAACAAATGTGCGCCCACGCCGGTGCCCGGCCGCCCGCCGCCCGCCCCCCGAGATTCCTTGACCTATGCGGTGACAACTTTCCTCACCTGTCGTTACAACTAGTTAGGGCTAGCCCTTGGCGTAAAGATGCCATAAATAAGTCGAATCGTCTGCACGTTTTCCAATCTCCTGCCAATTTCGTTTGGTCTTTCCTAACGGCGGATCAGAAGCAATGCTATGCTATAAAGTGATCGCCATGTTTCAGATACGTAACTATGAAGTAGTTAAGAAAAAACGATTTCGGTAATGTCAAATAATTTCTTCACATGCACGATGATGCAATCAGAAACTCAGTTTCAATCGGTACTTGTATTATACAATGATTGGCTTAGCTTTATACGATATACTGTATATAGTTTACGTTTTGCAGCAGCCGTGGTCACGTGGACGCGGAAACCTCGGGCCGAAGTTAAAAATCATTTTCAAATAAGTTTAACTAATATATCGCATTTTAAACCGTTAAAGTGTTTTATTCAAATTTATACGATATGTTACAATTTTCAATGCAAAAGAACTTGGCTTGCCTGTGTACCGCCACTATAAGCATGTTCACGGGTGAAGGAAAGGTTGTGCTTTTTTAATCAGTGGATAGCATTTATATTCAATTTTATTCTCAATTTTTTTATGCGATCGATGATTACAATATTCTATTATAATAACTCAGGGCATGAAATTCTTTGGACGAAAACCAAATCCCGATTAAATTTAGGAAGACAATGGCAACAGAGCTTTAATTAAAATTGTCGTTTGCTGTGCGTTATTATTAGCTGAAGTACCGATTTATTATACTTACTGAAAAGTCTATGTAGCTTTTATTTTAAAATGGTCGAATTACAAATATTACTGTATTGTTTAATCGTCAAACATATTTTAAGAAAGCGTTAAATTATCGTTTTTATTGCTTCCGATTTGTATTGTTGTACCGTAATGTCATAGTTTCAATCAGTTTTTTATTAGACGTTAAAATTCTGATGATATTGAAAAGGCTACTGAACATTTTTATTAAACATCATTGATCTATTAACACTAAATGTTGATGGATGTTACCTTAAAACAACTTTGGATCTTTAAGCAAATATTTATTCATTTTATTGCTTTAATTTAATCAGATTGTAAATTCTTCTTAACAGAACTAAATAACTTGTATTACGTGTGAGAGTTGTATATGTATATACAATTATTATTTTTTACTATAGCGATGAAACATATTTTTAATTATAGATATGTTTTTGTTTATTCAATATATAATTTAATTTTTTGCTTTCATTAAAAAGCTTTTATAAAACACTTGACGCCATCTATTGAAAGAAGCGGGAATTAATATAATCTGAAGATGTGCTTTAACGTAGTTAAAACCTGGCAAAGATTCAAAATACGAATTTTCAGGTGGTGTGCAGTTGTTTCTTAATTTATCCGCCAGATGGCGTCAGAACGCCACTGGCGGATAATTGTAAAAGTTTAAGGGTTTTTTTTTTTTTTATAACAATATTACACTTTCGCCTTACTACCGCCACCTGGTGGGAAAACTGTTTTACATATAATTGAAATACAATAATGTGGATTGGCTCTTGGCAGTATAGCCGTACTACTCTATTATATCCTTTTTATGTAAAATGATTGATAAAGAAGACAATAAATTTATTTACGTTAAAACTTATCACAGACAACAGCGTATAATGTTATTAGACAGTTTAAATGTCAATTGATACTTGTTGCTCATCGAAACACTTTACTGGTATTGATTGTATTCATTATATCGTTATAAATAATTAAAATCAATCATTAAATTATTCAATAAGTTACTTTAAAATAATTTCGCGAATCACTATGACTAGAGAGGCATGGTATTAGCTTTAATGGTAGTCACATTAATGACTTCTTTAGTAAATAAATTGCTTTCGCGGGAAATCTATTAAATTAGGTATTCATTAGTGTAAAGGTGATTATGACGTAATTGCGTAACGGAAAGTACACTTGAGAACATTCTAACAAATCCAGCCTATAGAAGTTATTATAAGGATTTCCGACCTACATATTGATTGACGTCAAAAAGCCATTACAGGAACAGCACAGATCCCATGCCAGAGTTTAGCTATAAAAATATAAATACATATCGATTTGCAATGCTAATCGCGTCGGTAACAATCAAATAGTTGGCCTGCGCGTGCGCATTGTATCACGAAACCGAAATGTATGGAGCGTGTCGCGCGGAATAATTTCCGACGAAAACGATATTAAATAAATATGACCTATTGCACGAGAAAGATGCTTATGAGCTACACAAAGTATGTAATACATACATTGTGTGGGTCATGGGATAAACACACTTCTGTGTCTGTTCTTTCCAATAAATTTTACTTATCGTGATCCTTCTTTGCCTTGTTTAAGCGCAATAATCGCTTCTATTTTTACAGGGATTCAAGCCCAGACCCATTAGCACTTATAGCGCTAGCCATATATAGGGATATGGATGTTAAGGTGGTGTTTGTATAGAAACTCTTCGCTTATAACCAAAGATAAGAGTTTGTTTGTTTGAACGCGCTAATACTAGGAAATATTGGTTCGAATTGAACAATCCTTTTGTCTTTAGGCAATTAAACATCAGCTGCGACCAATTGGAGCGTATAAATAGAGGGAAATATGGAAAAAAAACGGGGTAAACCATTCATCGTTGACGGTTTCCTTTAGGTGCAGTGCGAAAACGATTTAAGATAGGTAGAAATTTATATAAAAAATATTAAGAGTTAACTCACAAGAGTTGTTTTTATGGTTATCAATATCGAAACACTTCATATGACAAAGAGCTAGTGTATGCATATGGTTGCTAAGCCCTGCAAAATACGCCAAATCTGTGATCACCGTTCAAATACGACTACCGCGACTCGCCTGATTAATGGCGACGTTATTACAAAAATACTAACGCAATAAATCAGATGACACCAGAAAGTTCATTAATCGAGCGTACAATGACACTATGTATATAAATAAGGTACATGAATGAATTGGACATTATGGCCGTTGTAGCCGGAAAAGTTACGCGAAATTTTAAATTTGCCTTAACGAATCGAAATTCAACATTGAATTTCTTATTTATAATACACACAATAATTTGCTTTACTTTTACTTTGAACTTGTGAATTGGTAGAAAGTACCGTAGACTAAAACAAAGGTTGAATCACTATTTAGTAATAGTTCAGTAACTTTTATATATATTTTTTTAGTTTGATTTTGTAATCCAATTTCTAAATCTAATCAAGTTTTATTCTGAGATTTTATAGACGGGATCAGTCCACGTCATCGACTATTTCATGCATTTCCCGTTTCTGCTTTTGCGGAGAATTTTAGGTTATCTAACCCCATTGCATCCCCTTCAAATCTTCTGGTTTCTATGAAAAATGTTAACACTCTTATATTCCATCTTTAGTTCTTTGATCTCATTTACTGTAATATGCCTCAGATTTCAACATGGGCTTTAGGTACTACTTCTGTAAGGTAAATGTGTTTTAGCTTCCCAAAATCAAGAGAAAATATATAATTTACAAGATGTTTAAAGATATAACGCAAAAAAAACAATAATAATATATCTAAATATAATGTCATCAAATTAATTACAACAAAAACGGACAAACGCAGATTGGCAGGTGACAGCCTTGTGTATTGTGCAAAAAGTGTAACGTTTTGAATAAACCTATTATTTACGACCTTCATCAGAAGATCCAGGTCACTAGAGCACAGCTGTCATAACCGATTTATAATTTTTGCAATTGCTATTTCCACTTTTTCAATTTCATTTGTAAATATTTGCCTCACATTTGTTATCGCGGCTATTCAAGACATTTATTTAATGGACTCATGTATAATCCACTAATGTATTATGATAGTACTATTAATAATAGATGTTTAGTACGTTTTAAGTAATTACAGTCTTGACAAAGATTTTAGGCGCGAAATACAGGAGCCGGTTGCTAATCGCCATTTTGTATAGCGTTGACTACGCCATGCCTTTATTCTTAACACTTAAAACTTCTCAACCATGGTTCTGTGTTCACATATTAGACGTTGTTTATATTTCCCTCTTAATGATTTAACGTCTTTATAAAGACATATTATGGATCCATTAGGTATGATAGTCGTCCTATATCAAAATCTCATATGTTATTTTCTCCAGCGTCTGCGTATCTTTCCTCTAACGTAACGTTTAGTAACGACATAACGACAAAATTCATCTTCAACATTATCATATTTCATTGCATGTTCCGCTTCTATGAAATTGGAGATATTAAAATATTTTCCAATCAAACAGTCACGAGTTATTCCATCTAATGGATGGGTAGTCAGTGTGCCGGTGTATTTTCGTTGATCCGTAGCAGAATAATTGGCCGCCATGTCTCAGTCGCCCCCGTTATTTCTAGGTCAATTATACGACATTGAACTTAAAATATATTCAAAACAAAGCACCTCAGAAAAATAGGAATTATTTAGTAGTAATGTGAAAACTGGAGAAAAATTGGGCCAAACGGTATATAGTAGCAATAACAGTTTTTAAAGACATTTGACATTTGTTAGAATTAATATAAAAAACAGAAAACATAATTTTTAAACTTTACTATTAGGAAAAGATGGAATTGATTGATTTAATTATAATATCAGTATTACGATAAAGTAGTTCAGTTAGTAAATTCAACAGATTTTAGCTAAATTCTATAGTGATATCTTTATCTTTTAAGCTTCTTGCCATATTTACACATTCACACTTCATAAATCAGTATGAGTTTATATAGCGGGAGAATTAATTTCGACGAAAACAGGAAATATAAAGGTCTATCTTAAAATATTCGTATGAGGTAATATGTAATAATTCCATTACGTTAGATTATCCTAATATATTCTAGGTGACATAATTTTTAATATATCATCTAAAGTGGCTTTTTATTTCCTTTTTTATTTATTTAAATATAGAGCTCCCGTATTTAGAATCTATCGCTATGTAATTTTTTTTTATCAACTCCAGCTTTTCATATAAAGTGTTAATAAAAATTATAAGAAACAAACGAACAAGCAAAACATACTTACATGTATTTGTATTATAATTGACAGTGTTTTCCACCACTTGCATTCCCATGATTAGTATTTGACTAGATTATCACTTCATTTCGTAGCGTCATATAACCGGACGCCTTGGGCGTTTCTACGGAACCACTTCAATTACATTATGTATTTTCACTTTTACCTCTCATCACCTTTTCGTCATTTTTTCACTCTCAAACACAGGTAATAACATGGGCAACTCACTCAAATTGTAGAGGATAAATAGGGTGAACAATATTATTAAAACACAGTAATTTTCACGAACAATTAATAAAAGTAAATTGTTATTCTAAGCTTGAAAATTTTCCCGCGCAAAATAGTCGTGACCAACTAGAACGCGTGCGCGCGTCGTCCTCTCCACCATGACACTGCGCATCTGAAAAGAGAGATTTCATTTCATTTTACATGTCACGGAAGCAAGAGCACGAATTTTTCATCTTTCTTATGAATAATTGGCTATCGTTTTTTATCAAATCATAAAATTATATTAATTATGACGATAATTTGTGAATATACGCGTTGCACATGCTTAATTTAACATTACTGTAGTAGAGAAAAAGAAGCGTCATTTGAATAATATCCTTACATCATAATTTTAATGATAACATAAATATAACACGAAATTTTCTCGTGTCATTAATTTTTGTGACAAAAAAGATGTCGGAATTTTAATGTCGAGCTCTAAACTATTAACGCTGAATGAGTTTGACATAGTTCTGTAACGATCTTATCAATGAGACTAGTGTGAAAAATAAGTGTGTTGTAACTTTTTGTTGTTATTAAAGTTACGTGAAACTAGAACAAAATATGTTTCTGAGAAGTGCGAAATTGGGCTACATTCAAGACAAGTGCGACATTTTGAAATATTCTACAATCTATTATCCGATAGCATTTACTATCTGTGTAACGTTTAACGCAGACTATAAACCTTGTCTATTCGCCGATATTAAAATAGCTCTAGCAATGCTCTGTGGTAGTTCTTAGTTCCTAGTACGTAATATAAACGAGTATCATTATTATACGTAACGAATTCTGCTGAGCGAGGTGAGAAGCAATGTCATTGCCTCGGCTAATTATACGGCGTCTGAACTTGGCTTAATTTGGCGGCTTTTTATTTTTACCCTCAGTACTGAACTGGTGATATTTTTAAATTGTCACGATGACTCTGGATTAAAAAAATTTAACAATTCTCTATGGCCAGCATATCTACGTCTAGACATATAACTATTAATTATTAAACTATCCGCCTTTGGAACTCTCTTCCCACTAATATCATAAAAGCTGAATCACTCCGTTGTTTTAAAAGTTTGTTCTATAAGTTTTACTTTTCCGATTCTTAAGTTAATTTCTCTTCTACTTGTTGTGTATACTTTTACTATGTATGCTTCTCTGTAGTATTCCTAACATCTACCCACTAAATAAGTCCTTTTCTATCTTTTCTTCTCTACTTCAGGTTGCCTGGAAGATATCGCTACTTAGCGATAATGCCGCCTTTCATTTATAAGTTAGTTCGTAATTTTTCTTTATTCAAAAATCTTTTCTGTGCTGTTTATTACAAATAATAAGGCTATAATAAATATTAATGTCTACTAAGTTGAGGGTAGCTCCACGCTTCTTTTGCATTCATAGTTCCTTACATATATACACATTAGAAAAATAATCAATTTCGTATTATCACAAAGCGCCCACGGCTTAAATACATCAGCGATTGATTCATTGGTTCTCGTGAGGCACCTGTTAGTCTCAAGCGGCACTTAATATCGAATTCTTTGCGAATACTTCATTTTCTATGGAGGATATTACGTTTACGACTAATAAATAGCGTAATATATCGCGTAAACACTCCTTTTTGCAGATATACAGTAGAAGACGCGTGCGCTTATTTTTAGATTCAATGTCGTGCAAATTGTGGGGGATATCGCGATGGACTTTCTTTGATTGTAGGTTAATTTACTTATTTTATCTCTATAAATAAAATATACCGCATATTCAAGTAGTCCCGCTTGTCCTGTGCCAAGGATTAATAAAAGGTTTTATGATCAAGTAAGTAACGTAAGTAGATCCTACGTTTTCCGCCCTAACCGACACATAAATAAAATAAAAAAGCCTTTTATTACGAAATCTATCACTTTGGAATTTACAATTTTAAATGTTTCTTACTTATATTTACAATGTTTAATTTTGTACTAGTTTTCTATCTATTCTATTTTTATAACAGATCCGTGTGCCGATCGGCAAAGGCCTTCTCCAACCTTTTCCACTCCTTTCTACTCTATTCCTATCCTTTGGCTACTCTATTCCTATTATTTTGACTCCAGCCACTTTCCTAATGTCATCTTCCCATCTTTTCCGAGGTCTTCCTCTTTTCCTTTTCCCTTCCCTGGGATACCATTCTGTTACTTACTTACTCCATTTCTCTTTTCCTCTGATTGTGTGCTCAGCCCATCTCCATTTCAATCGCCTAATTTTAGTTACTAGGTCTGTTACTTTCGTCTTACTTCTAATTACTTATACTAATTATTCTTTTGTCTGTCTGATCTTTTGATGTTGGTGCTTCTTTCCATGGCATGTTGGCATGTAGTTAATTTGTGTGTCATTTCCTGAGATAGTGCCCATGTTTGACATCTATAAGAAAGACCGGGAAGGACACAGGTATTAAATAATTTGCTTTTAATATTTGTATGAAGTTTTTTCTTTTTCATTGGCTCTCTCAGGCTCCTGTTTCTTTTCCATCCGTTTGTAATTCTTCTGTTTATTTTTTTGTAGCATAGGTGCATTTTGAGTTATAAACTGACCCAAATAAATCGATTCTTCTGTGTATTTCTACTTCTTTTATTTTATTTTATCTTGTACTCCATTGGTCATCAGTCTAGTTTTTTCTGGGTTGAGTTTCAGTACTACTCTTTTTCTTTGCAACGTGAGGTCTTCAAGCATTATATTGATCGCTTCTGGTGCTGTAGCAAACAATACAATATCATCAGCGAATCTCAAATTGGTTAGTGATTCCCCATTTTAATGCCCAAATTTTCCTAGTCGATTTTCCTAAAAATTGATTCTAGGACCGCTGAAAATAGTTTCAGAGATAGAACCGATACATACCGAAAACTATTAAACCCCAGGACACGAACCCAGGATCTATCAAGCCAGGCTAATTTGATTAACAATATATCTAACAATGACAAAACAAATTGAAAATAAGTTGTTTTAAACAGTGAATAATGTAACGAATATATTTCACGTTTTAAACCGTTTAAAGTATTTTATTTAAATCTGTAGACTATTTGTGTGCATTACAGACTATACTTCAAACAAAATGTTGAATTATTGAATTTTGTTTTGTCTTCATATTTATTAATTGGCCCTTAGAAGCAAGCGTTGTAAACTAACGTCTAACTTGCGTTTACGGAACCCAAAAAATTGGCCTAGTAAACGGTAAGTCAGAGATTTCACGAGCACACGCCTGCCAGGGAATGTTGGCAGAGACGTGTCACAGTACAAAAATAATATTTACACACATCAGCACATATTCCGCTTGGATTGATTAAAAATGTCGCGTGTTTGTTTGTCCGTAGCGAGTTCACTTCCTACTTAGTATTTGTATATAAATAGCTATTCATGTCCTTCAGAACAAATTTTCTATGACGTCTAGATTTAGATATGTAACCTTACAGATAATTTAATAGTTAATTTTCCTAAAAAAAAACATTCCTAAAGTTACGAGTAAAACATAAATATGTAGGGTGTGTACCAAGGTAAAAATTCACTAGGGTGATTAGTCTACAGTCCTGAAGCCTGCATTTTATATAGTTTTGATATTGAGATGCTACGTCCAACTATTTTCGCTTTGACTATTCGAAAATTCGGAGACTATAACTGTAACACAGTTTTACACTCCGCCGTTTTTCATCTGTGGACTTTCTTACAACCCATGCAATGTCATTAAAAAAAAATTTATAACGTTAATTTTCTCGCATTTCGCAATGCTGCAGCCACATAAATTTCGACATACCTACCTACTTCTTTCTCTGTCAAAGTTTCATTATATTAAGAAAATCACTTTTCCGAAACTTTTATCACTATTTACGTTAATAAGTATATAAGTGGGAAGTTAAATTCAAAACATCTCCAATCTTATATGATGAATTTGTATCAAAAATCAATTACAAGATAAACAAGACGTCGCCAAGACAAATAACGGCGAATGACGCAAGTTTTCGCTATAACAGTAAATTATTCTGAAGTTGTCTCGTCGGATTAGGAAACACCTAGCGGTTGGGTGTCATTGCTTATTAAGAATTATTCGTTTCTACTGTCCCTATAAGAGATAAAAACCATGACTAAAAAATTCTAAATGGTGGTTCAACAAAAACATCTTAAATGAACCTAAGGCTTTAAATTACATCGTAATAGCTTTACGAGCTGTTCGGATACGAAATATCTTAATTACGACGAGTAACAGCTCAGCTTTCCAAATGTCATCGCAGGCAAAATGATTATACAATTTAATAAAAATTGTGGTTAGTTTGGAGATTTTAATAGGTATCATTTTAATTTCGTTTCTTAAATTGTTAAGTAGCTTAAAATTAATTTTACACAAGAATTAAAAAAACAATGCAGAAAATGACTTTACTTATAGTTAAAAGAAATCAGTAAAGATATTAATGGAACCAAGTATTAATTAAATAAAACCCTGCTTCAAAGCTCCCGTCTTACAATAATGAAGAATGCGTTTTAAACCGTTTAAAATGTTTTATTTAAATGTGTACTACTAGCGAAAACACAGAGGATACTCAGCCAAATATTAAATACAAGCAACTGCATCTTGTCGTTAAATCCAAGTAAACATAAAGTACGTACGGCTAAATGGATTTTGGAAATAAACATCTATTCCTCTCGAAAACACTCGGTAAGCGCCAGGCTACTTGTAGGTGTTCGTTTATGAGACGGCTTTATTATTGTAGCTTTCTGGTCTAATGCTTTACATGATTTTCCCGGATGTAACAATGATATATAGTCACATACAATAAAAATGTACTAATGTGTTTGTGAAGTTGAATTCTATGGGGGCATTTATATGACCGCTTCACTGATTTTATTTTCAGGCAAGAATATAGACCTCTGTGCCATGCCAACGAAAGAAACATTCCTGTTTTTCCGGGCTCGGAACTTAAGACCGACGGACTCGTTGGTGTAATGGTAGCAATTTACGACTAATAATCAACGGGTCGTGAGTTGCTTCCCCATGGGTCAAACATTTCTATAACATTCTTATAAATTTATATTTTTTCTGAAACATGTTGGACTTCCACTGAAAATCTGGGTACTAATGAACACAATGAACCACCACCAGATGACCACGTTTCGATTTCAGTCTGT